TAAAACAGTAGGTGAAAAGTACCCGGATGACCAACTACTTCCGGCGAGATTCTGAAGTGTGTTTTCGATGGACACTTTACTATCCCATGAGGCCACGGGAGGGGATTTAAGAATGGAAGTGAAGCAACGCAACTGTAGGTCACGTGACAGTAACAACATGGTCTGAATTTCATTCATACTACACATATTCATACTATATAAATAGATATACTATATTATAGAGCGTACTTTTTAACAGTCACAAAGTGGATTCAAATTCAAATGTGGGCTACCTACTCAGACAGTACGCGAATTTGGACGTTGCTCCAGTCCCTTATTGATGAAGTTATTGCGTCACTGCAGCTGCCATTAGAAGCTCCAGTTGCTATAAAGATACGTGAGATACCTTTTCTGAGATCCGTGCTGAAGACTGTACATGCGCATTGGCTGGTCCAGCCTGAAAAAAAGATTTTTTAACAATAAGAAACAACATTTCTGGGTCAGTTCAAGGCAGATTTTGTTGCTGATTTGAAATATGTTATTTAATTGTGAGTTAGCGAGCAGTTTTTGAGATTTCAGGTTTCCCCCATTCAAGTAGATAGGACTTGGTCTTGGATGCCCAAATAGCTGCCCGGAAGGGTTGCAAATATGGCCGCCATATGAACTGACTTTCCTTTAAAAAACGAATTTGGTTCAAGTGGAATATTTTAGGTTTCAAATGATAAAACAAATTATAAGTTGTTCAAAATGACAAAAAAAGACATTTTTTGATTGTCAACTATTTGTGGATCATGTTCATACAGCAAATGTGATGAACTATGCTTAATGAACTTACATACATCCACTAGTAGAAATCACTTTGGGAGCAGCTGGATGTGAGTATGAAAATGGCTCAGAAAAGTAATGTAAGTTCAATGAAAAGGGAAACACTTTAGAATACTGTTCCGTCATTAATAAACAACTTCACAGGAACACATGAGTTGAATTCTAGTAACTACTATTAAGTGGAATAGTGGAAACTTTTTGTGGTCTGATTGGCTGGTGGTTGTAATCATAATTGTTTAAAAATTCAGTAACACTTTATAATTACTGTTCAGTAATTAATTAATAACTTCACATGAACAAATGAGTAATGCAATATACATTCTAGTAAATATATTAACTAAGTATAAACTATATGATTAACAAATTAGTAAGTAATAGCACAAAGCAGAATGCAGTAGTTTGATCAACTATTAGCTAATCAATAACTTAAAAAAAAAAACATGTCTACCAGAGAACAACTAACCAGAGAAGAAACTATATACAGTTTCAAAATAATGTGAATAATGGATCATTCATTCTAAAGTGAAGATCATGCTAACCTACAAGTAATGATTACTAGTAATGAATATTGTGTAACTCATTTGTTCGTCACAACTCATTTGTTGTGTGTATGATTCATTAATGACAGAATATTCTAAAGTTTTATGGAATTTTAAACAATAATCACTAAGACCACCAGCCAATCAGACCTCAAATAGTCTCAACAAGTGGGCATTTCTGTGACTGTGAGACACAATACACATCCGACCCCAACATTTACCATCCGCATGTCAAGATAGAATGAAACTGTGTCACTGCGAGGTTAAACCATGTAATTTTATCAGATGTGATTCTGCTCATTTATATTGACTGAAAAGTATACGTTTTAAAAACTTAAGTATTGGACAACCATAGAGAAACTGAGCTAAAAAAGTGCAGTCAAGGACTCTCCAGTCTCCACTCCTTATTGGAAAAGAGAGTGATTTAGCTGTATAGTAGACTGAGTCACTGAGTCAATGACCTAACTGCTTCCTCCGCAGACTCTCCATCTGCGTAGCAGCTTAACTGTGAGTTTCCAGTGAGCATGCTGTGGTCAGGTTAGCACTGCTGCTTCTGAGCACTGGAGTCACAATTCATCCGACTTCTGTCACTCACCCCTTTTTTCCTCTTTTGTTAGGATGATTTGAGGTGGCATTTTACAATTTACATTTAAGTAAGCATTTATGGTGAAATGAGTTTTATGCTAAAGTTACTGGGAGAGCAGAATATACCCATTCAAATAAGGCAGTTTTAATCAAATCAATGTGTGATAATGGTTTGACGTTTACGAGTCTTATAATAGTTTTTGTTTCGCTTTATTTCTTAATACTTATTTTATTTCTTTATTAAGTCACTACAAAGCTTACAGACTCATTTGTGGATATTGTATTGAAGAAAATGTATCAAAACTCAAAGGGATAGTTCACCCTAAAATGAAAATGAAGTCATCATTTACTCACCCTGGTGTTGTTTTAATGCCGTATGCCCTTTTTCGGTTCACAAAAGGAGAATTTTTCATTCGCCGCAGTTCACTCCGAGAGGCCCTGAAAAAGCACACAAGTTGTGAGAAATCAAGGTTAATAAATAGCTTACGTTACATGAATAGAAATCCCCAAAAAAGTATCCGTGTACTTTCTCCACTGAGTTAAATATCTCAGACCGGAACTCCGTTTGTCTGATGGCGGTTGACAGATGTGAACGTGATAACTTAGGTACGACGAACACCTCAGAGAAGAAGGTGCATGTTACATGGATTGTATTAATCTTGATTTCTGACAACATGTGTGCTTTTTCTTGGTGAGATGGAGTGAACTGCTGCGCTAATAGTCTCACGTACTGTATGCACACGTCACATAGCCGTGCATAGAAGGCCAACGGCCAAGGTCAGAATTTTCGTTAAAGAATACATTATCTCAGTTTGTTTTCTACCAAACCCTATCACCCATAAACTGGTATACATGGCACGTGTCGCATGGGATCATTCTGTGACACTTTTGCGTTGTTTTTTAAAATCTTATTGCTGGTCGCTATTCACTGCCATTATATGGACGAGTACGAACTAGATGTTTTTTTCTTTCTTTTTTTCTTTTGTGGTCCATTAAAGAAAGAAGAGTTTACGGCATTAGAACAACACCAGGGTGAGTAAAATATGATTTCATTTTCACTTTAAAGAGATACAGTAGTTCACCCAAAAAACGAAAAAAAAAAAGTCATTTACTCACCGTAATGTCATTTTATACTTGTATGCAGCTTGGACATTCTTACAGCTATCTCTTTATCTCGCTATCTCGTTTCACAGTGATAAGTTGAAATTTTTAAGTTAACTACATATTAATTATTGATTCTAACAGGTAAATGTGTCTAACTAAACAAGGACTTGGCTGGTTGTTGTGAGTATAAACTTCATTAGGCAACCTCTTGAAACTCCAAGCTTGCAGTTTTGATAACCAGCATTTGCAGCAGTTTCTTAGTGGAGCTTTTGTGTCTAAGAAAGACAACGGTGTATTTTTATATGTTTGAGCATCTCTTTCTCTCTCTCTCTCTCTCTCTCTCTCTCTCTCTCTCTCTCTCTCTCTCTCTCTCTCTCTCTCTCTCTCTCTCTCTCTCTCTCTCTCTCTGTGTGTGTGTGCATATGCATGCCCTCGCCCTTTCGTTGCACCAGAACTGAGCATAAGTTGGGTTGTTTGGTGGCGATGCGAAAGAGACGTTTGTGGTCGCGCTTCATGGTGCTACAACTTCCAGGAACTGCAACTGTGTACAGTGACAGTGATGGTAGAGTTTGCCTTAGGATTGGTTGCATTTATTTGAAAAAGAAAAACGTTAGTAATATATATATATATATATTTTAAGTATTTTAAACATGATTGCAGACTAAATAGTCTTGGTTATTGTGCAATAGCCTATTTTTAGTAAGAATATATTGTAAACCTTTGATCATTATTTGATTATTATTGAACTAAAATGTTATGGGTGAATGCTTTGCTTGCACATAGCCTTCTATGCTTACCAAAGTTGGCAAATATTCTACTTCAGCAGAGAGCGCAATACCTAAATATGAGCCACGAGAGGGAGCCAATAGTGCAGTCTAAAATCTAAAGTGACTGGGCGAATAATACAGTGTCAGTATGATTCTGTCTTCTTGTGTGCCAAGTGTGCAGTTCTTATATGTGCAGTGCTTTGATACCGTGTTGACCATGTAAAGTTAGTTACATTTAGCACTTTGAACAGTAATTAGAGGCAACCGAACACCACCTGTCCGAAAGCTATATAATTTACAGTCTACGCCGGGGCGCCATTGAAAAGCTTTGGTCATGGAAACAAGACAAGCACAATCGGAACCTCTCAAGCTGATTTAAACTTTATTGAATTTCAAGGTTCACAAACAATATCCCATCACAAACAGCAATGCACATTAATGAATAACACAGCTAACCTTGTTCATTTATGACACTTACAGAATACTCACACCTACTCACTTCTCTTTTGGGAGAAGAATTTGAGTTGGCAGTTGAGAGGGCAGTTGAATGTAAGGCCTACACCTACTGCCTGATCATAACTTAATAAAATAAATATTAGATATTTTATAAGATATATATAAGATCTCTCATTTCCCCTATAACATTCCAAACTGCTCAAATAATACTTTACAAATAATAAACAAAAATACAAACAAATAAAACACACAAATAAATTATGTATTTGAAAATTAACAATCACATAAAAACTATAAATATGCCTTCAATTATTCTAAATTATATCATTCTGTATTCTTTAAACTATAATGCATTTAATTTTAATAAGCATACAGATTGCTGTTCATAATGCCAGGTTACCGAAATGTTGATGCAAAATATCCGTATCCTTGGCTTGTCTAACCAGTGCATGTAAGCATCGGGTCTTTTTGCTACGTAAAAAAAAATGTCATAGCTTCCCTGAGATGTATTGGATTCAACTAAAATTTGGCTTGTTCAGTGAAACAGTGAAACTTTCACGGGATGTCAAACAACGTCTGTTGATAATTGATAGAAGGAGTGATGTTTTTAATGACTCAAGCCACTGTGTTTTGTGTGTGTGTGTGTGTGTTAATTGAGCCTGGTTCCTCCACTGCAGGGTGTGTGTATGGATAGTGAAAGTGTGCGCGTACTCCTACTGCATCCTGAGTTCCTCAGTGCGGAGAACTACTGAATCTTCTTATGCGTTCTTCTCCTTCTATCCATGGATAAACTGATCCAGACCAAAACATTGTGAAACTCTCTCATTGCTTTAATCTGAACTCCTGGCTCAGGCTGTGTATGAAAAACAGAGAGGAGAACTCATAAATCACAATGCAATGGACATAGAGATAAGCTCCTGGGTCAGAGATGAGTATCCACAATAAAGAAAAGTGAACAAATATCATAAATTATTCATTAGTAAATATTATATTTTTCAGGAGTCACTCTACGTGATATTTTACAACCTTAACTAAACTTTTCTTGTCAAAAAAAAAGTAAAATTATTAGTGCTGTCAGATCGATTAATCGCGATTAATTGCATCTAACATAAAAGTATATATATATATATATTTGTGTGTATATATACACACACAAACGCACACATATATATATTTACAAACTTTTATGTTAGATGCGATTAATCGATCTGACAGCACTACAAATTATCTGATATTTATAAGAGACTTATAAATTATATATAATGAGGTTCTGCAGGGGTCCTCTCTATGATATCATATGCTGTTTTATGTTTTTATTTTTTTGCATGTTGGTTACGCATATATATTAACCTATATGAGTAGTGAAGCAGTTTTGTTAAATTATGTTTTTTAAAGAAATAATATTAAAAGATAATGCTAAGCATCCTAATGAAACTTTTTTTCTTGATTATGATATCAAAATAATTGTATTACCCTGCTCATAGTAGAAGAGGTGTAATCAAGTCACTAAATGTGCGAATTGCATTTTTTAAATATTTTTGAATACATTATTATTTACGTCATTGGCCCCTCTCACAATATTCTTCATCTATTTTATATTTGATCATTTTGAGATACATGACATTGGCTGATTACTGTGCCCACTTGGCCGATCTACCAACAATCGATTTGTGTTTAACGCACAATTGGTTTACAAATATTTTGAATGTGAATTTTAAGTAAATATATGTGTTATAATCTTAATCGCTTTAACTAAATTGTATTATCCAGCCACCCAACTAAAGTTATTGGTATTGGCCACTGAAAAACTTGATCATTTAGCACACTAAATAAACTAAGCACAAGTTAACTTCTAATAAGGCGAAGGGTGCAAACAGATTATAAAGTAATGTCACTTACCATCATAAACGTGTCCTCAATTTTTTTAAGTTTCTCTCTTGCGCAGGATGACAGAGTTTGTTTGCCTTCAGTCTCCTGTGTCAAGGGGGGAAAAAAACAGAAAAAAAATGTTAATGAAAATGTTTGTTTGTTTATGGCAACATAATTCATCTGTTATTGCCTTTTAGTTTTAATAATTTTCAACAAGTATATTTACTATACCAAGTGGTAAATGTTAGTGATGTCTTACTTACACAGAACTCAATCTTGCCCTTCAGTCTTTTGAAAAATTCCATAAACATTTTTGTCGACTGATGAGTTTTATTCTTCCACAACTTTTGGAACACATGTTCATCATAGATTTCCAGGATGCGTTTTAAGTCAGCGACGTTCAGTTTCCGTTTCTGGGGTGTGCAGAACAGTTTATTTTATTTTACACAACATATTTTGTTATTCTGAATGGCAAATGAATAGGGAAGACCGGGGCTAGTTGTCACAGGAGCACAAAGAGTTAAAAGTGATGTTGGGGCAAATTGGTGGATTTGTAATACAATTTATTAACTGTTAACTTATTAATATTAATATTGACTGCTGTTGTTTGAATTTTTAACATGTATATGTATCTTTATCATTTTTTTTACTTTCATTCATTGTTTCATAATTGTTTAAGAGTTTAAATGTTACTTCTAACAGCGAGTTTTTATTGTGACTTTCTTCATATTGTGTGACAACATGCCCCCCAAAGACGCACTTTTTGCATAAATTTACAGAAACTAACAACACACACACACACACACACACACTCTCTCTTACACACACTCTCTCTCACACTCACTCTCTCTCTCTCTCTCTCTCTCTCTCTCTCTCTCTCTCTCTCTCTCTCTCTCTCTCTCTCTCACACACACACACACACACCCTCACACACACACTCACACATATATATACACTGTACAATAATTTATAGAATTATGCATTTACACACTATATATATATAATGTAAAAATATACATAAAATGTGTGTGCATTTATATGCATATATATATATATATATATATATAAAATTATATACATATAACATGTATATATAAAAGTATATACATACACACATATATATATATTTATATATATATATAAACATAAACACACACATTTTTATATATTTTGAAATAGCTAAACAAATACTTTTATTATTTATACTTTTTTTTTTTTTAAATAGCTATGAAGTGGTTCATGTGTATAGGTAAATAATGTACAACTATTATCTTACCTTGTAGCAGTTTTTAAGTTGTCCTAATATTCGATGGAAGGGTTTATTGTCCCTCTGCAACAACAAAAGAACATTTGTGAATCATGTCACCCTTTTAAATGCACATATCGTTACTGTATGAATTAGGATACTTACATCTAGAGGTTCCTGGATGAATTTTGAAGCATTGATCATTTCTTTGATCATATGCAGTGGGATAATCTTGTTCAGGCACTCTTCCTGCATCTGGCCTTGAGAGCAGCACAGGAGAGCACAGAGGGCGAGCAAGGTTACGATCCGCATTCTGGTTCGGTTTCAGAGAGGGCTGAAAATTGTATTGTACAGTCTGTACAGTACAGTGGCTCAGTGTGCTTTCAACAACCAGTGACATTCATAGCTTTTATAGCTCCATCCTTTGTCAAAAAAATTCCCACACTCATCACAAATCAGATTTTTTTTTGTAAATTTTTTTCAAACGCTTTGGATTGCATGCTTAGCCCTCATTTTTCCTTGTGGGTTCAGTCACCTGCCGGCTTATGTGGTTTTGTATTCTAGTGACGAAAGCCTCTCGCATATTGATTACTGGACGATGAAATCTAGGTTGCAAGAGCGTTAAATGTGTTGCGATGCATTCAAACCTACAGTGTTTCCTTTGATGTGAATAGTGTGAACTGTGTCTTGAAACTGTTTAGCTATTGGAAAAATTTTTGAAACATACAGAACACAAAAATTATGATGTCAGTGTTGTAGAATAATATATTCTTAGTTTCTTATAGGGTAAATTAAGGTTGATTGCGACACTTTTTGCAAGTCATCTCAATGGCAAAAAGTGTCGCACTCACCCTGAATTCACCCTATACTTAAGTTATATGTGTGTATATATATATATATATATATATATTACTGAAAGGTTTGTTCATAAATTTGAGAGAACTTTGCCAGAAAGGTTTTAAAAATGTTCCCTAGCTGGGTATGCAAACACATTTTAATATTCATTTGTCTGAACAATTCTCTGATGCCCTCTTTGCACATGCACAATGTGTATGTCATAACTGCATCACCCAACAACAAAAAAAGATTTGCATGCATACTATACGCTCCATTCTATAGGTATGAGGAATTGTGAAATTCCCAGGAAGTGCCTAACTGTTGGATACTTTACAAAACCTTTAAAATATTTTTGTGAATATATATATATATATATATAAAACTTAAGTTTGTGATTTAAGCCACAAAATATCATTCCTAATTTAAAACAATGTAATTAGGCCCCATGATATCAGACATGCATTCATCCCAAATAAAAGGCTAAATATAAAAAAGTATTTTCTCAGGTCCCCCAGCAAATTTGGGGCAGAGGTTAGTGACAACTTATGTGATTGTCGACATTTACCGAAACACGTTTTACCATGACAAAGTATAACCCCCTCTTCCAGAGGGCTTAACCACCTTCTCAAACCAGGTCAGCACCTACAAGACTCAGCAAAGAACTTAACCTGACCCAGAAAGCATTCTCAAGAGCTGCCGCAGTATAAAAATATCGATCAAACCATCCAAAGTCAAACAGTTACAATGAACATTTGAGTCAGAGGGGGAAAGAGGAAGTTAAACGTTAAAAACATGCATTTATTGACGGACCACTAGCCCGTCTCAGTTAAATTGCTCAGCTCAGTTGAGTTGAATCATGATTCAGTATGAATGAAAGGGATAAAAAAGCTTCCCAATATCACTGTGGCAATACTACTCTACTTCAACCACAAGATCTGATAAAATCAGAGGTGAAAGCTAAAAAATACCCCAGCTCATTGAACAACTTTCACTTTTGTCAGTCTGCGTAATGTGCGTATGTTACACATGTCAAACAATAGACACGAGGAAATATGAGCCTGTAAATTCCCAAGCCTTTCATTATCCTGTGGATTACGCCATTTTATTGTATGTTTGCCTTTCAAATTGGTCACTTTAAAGTTTTGAAATATTTTAAAGGTTTTGAAAGTTTTGTAAAGTATCCAACAGTTAGGCACTTCCTGGGAATTTCACAATTCCTCATACCTATAGAATGGAGCGTATAGGATGCATGCAAATCTTTTTTTGTTGTTGGGTGATGCAGTTATGACATACACATTGTGCATGTGCAAAGAGGGCATCAGAGAATTGTTCAGACAAATGAATATTAAAATGTGTTTGCATACCCAGCTAGGGAACATTTTTAAAACCTTTCTGGCAAAGTTCTCTCAAATTTATGAACAAACCTTTCAGTAACATTACAGTAATAGAACATTGTTCAAAGTTATCTGGTCTGTAAAATGTTCTCAAAACATTATTTATAAAAAGAATTGCCAAAAATCTACATCAATGTTAAGCAGCATGGAAGAGAACGCGCAAGGATTCAATTGCAGAAATGTTTATAGGCCTATAAAAAAACACAAACGAAGATAAACCAAACCGGCTGGTAGTTGAACAACACATGGGTTACTGGATTAGTTTCGAGTTGACAGAACCAAACCAATCCATTCAGGCTTTGTTGGTGTGACACTGATCAAAAACATTTTCTGTCAACTCAGGCTTTGATCCTGAGTTTATAACTATGGAGCATGTGCACATGAAAGTTTGACATCAGTAGCGAACAGCCAATCACATCCTGTGAAACACTTGGACAGGATTCTGAGGCAGCGTTAAATGATACAAAATCATGAACAATATAAAGTGAGCTTCGGTGATTAAGCAAATATTTAATTACTATAATAGTTCTTGTTAGAAAAAACATCAAAAGTGGAAAAAGTTGGTCAAAAACACACAAACTGACGACCAACCGTAACTTACAGACGCCATCTTTATTTTACTGTCAAGGAATGGAAAGCACAGGATTGTGGGATATCAAAGGCAGTGAGGACTTTGATTTTTCGTACTTGCTGATATCGACACCTGCATTTTTTTTTTACATTTGTACATTTTTTAAATATTGGGTTGAGTTCGTTAAAAAAAATAACTCCAAAAAGTTGGATTGAGTTTGGGCCAGTGGTTCAAATTTTTAGATACTAGTGAAATATCACAGTTCTCTATTCTAATTTTGAGCTAAAACTACCAGCCCAACTAATATAAATTTAAGTAAACAGAGTTTGTGCTGGGTGGTTGTTGCTTGGCAACACGTAACTTGAAACTATTTCATGACATTCTATTAAAACTTGTTACAGATAGGAAGCACATCTCCTTATGGCCTTACCCTAAAGTTGGTTTACCCTCTGCCTATAACAAAGATACAAATGAAAATGTTAGTTTTCAGGTACATAAATTGAATAAAGTAATCAAATGTAAAACAAACACTGCATAGTCTTCACTGTATATATTAAATGTAGATTAATCTGTATTTAAGTTACAAAAGATATTCAGTCAAGAGCAGTGAGTTGTCTTTTGTTGTTTGATTAACATTAAAAACAGACGGCAGCAGGAATATTAGGCTGCTGTCACTTTAAAAGCTAATGCTCGGATCCAATATACTGATGTGTTGTCTTTCTCTACTGTTTACTTTCACTTAAGAAATTACAGACTATGTTTACAAGGATACTCACCAAGACGGGCATTTTGAAATATTTTTTTGCGAATTTGTCAGTTCAAGCGCAAGAAGACGGGAAAGAGAATTCAATTCAGTATTCATGAGCTGAGACGCAGCTTTCTGGGCACATTCTTTGTCATGTATGTATACTTTTACCATGTTCTGATGATTTGTGCTACAGTACCTGATCAGATTGTGCTACCATGCATGGTTTGAAGCCTTATTAACATCCAAACCTACCCTTAAAACAATACAAATATAGTGGTTGGTAGCAGAATCTTATAGGTAGCATTATTCGTCAAGACAACAGAACTACCATTGTTCTGTTTTTACATTATAGAGAGAGCATTTTGCCTGTTAGAAATAAATGTTTTAATGTTATTCTAAGTTGAGGTAGAATTAAATGAACTATAAAATAAACAGTGAAATTGTCAATTAATGAATTTATTAAATGGATCTGAGTACTGAAGGTTGAAGGTCAGCCACTTTACACTTTATCTAAACACCTTTTAAAAATGTTATGCTTTGCAATTTATTCCCTGTTAACAGTAGTAACAAACAAAACATGAACTGTTACAATAATATGTGTTTATATTTAGTGAGTAATCTTATAAGTTAGAAATTAAAATCTTGTCAAAGGGTTTTCTACCTTTCACAAGTCCTCCTTTGAGGTGTGGCTACACCAACCAGTGTCAGATTGCATCATTTAAAGAAACAGTTTAATCTCTTTAATTAAAGACCATTGTTATGCTTGGAAAGTGTAAACCCATTGTGCAAAGTACAACCAAGCTTAAATGGCCCACTTTAACTGAATTCTCCCTAGATACTTAATTTTTTTTTTTTTTTTTTTTTTGATCGCATCACAGCACAGAGACAGCGCTCATAAAGATAATAAACGATATTCGCTTAAATACTGATACAGGGAAATTATCAGTACTGGCACTACTCGACCTCAGTGCTGCATTTGACACTGTCGATCACGACATACTTCTCCATACTTCTGGAAAACTGGGTGGGGCTTTCTGGGATAGTCCTAAAATGGTTCAGATCATACTTAGAAGGGAGAGGTTATTATGTGAGTATAGGAGACCATAAGTCTGAGTGGACGGCCATGACATGCGGAGTCCCTCAAGGCTCAATTCTTGCACCACTCCTGTTCAACCTGTATATGGTCCCAATGAGCCAAATAATGAGAAAGAACCGAATCTCTTACCACAGCTATGCAGACGACACACAGCTCTACTTAGCCCTATCGCCTAACGACTACAGCCCCATTGACTCCCTGTGCCAATGCATTGATGAAGTAAACAGTTGGATGTGCCAAAACTTTCTTCAGTTAAACAAAGACAAAACTGAAGTCATTGCGTTTGGAAGCAAAGAGGAAGTTCTCAAGGTGAATGCATACCGTGACGCTAGGGGTCTAACAACTAAAAATCAAGTCAGGAATCTTGGTGTGTCCCAGTCAGACCTTAGTTTCAGTAGTCATGTCAAAGCAATAACTAAATCAGCATACTATCACCTGAAAAATATTGCAAGAATTAGATGCTTTGTTTCAAGTCGAGACTTAGAGAAACTTGTGCATGCTTTCATCACCAGCAGGGTGGATTATTGTAATGGACTCCTCACTGGCCTTCCTAAAAAGACCATAAGACAGTTGCAGCTCATACAGAACGCTGCTGCCAGGATTCTGAGCAGGACCAGAAAATATGAACATATCACACCAGTCCTCAGATCTTTACACTGGCTCCCAGTTACATTTAGGATTGATTTTAAAGTATTATTACTGGTATATAAATCATTTAATAGCCTAGGACCCAAATACATTGCAGATATGCTCACTGAATATAAACCAAACAGATCACTCAGATCATTAGGATCACATCAGCTAGAAATACCAAGGGTTCACTCTAAGCACGGAGAGTCTGCTTTTAGCTGTGCCAGCCGCAGCTGGAACGATGTGCTCCTACAGTAGTCACATTCAAATCCAGACTCAAAACACATCTGTTTAGCTGTGCATTTACTGAATGAGCAGTGTGCCACTGTTCGTCCGACTGTTTTTACTGTACTTTATTTCATTTTTTATTCTAAACTGTTTTAATTATTCTTATTTGTTTTGATTATTTTAATTTCTTTATTCTAAACTGTTTTAATTATTGTTATTTCTTTTTATTTTTTTTATTTCTTCTATGTAAAGCAATTTGAATTACCATTGTGTATGAAATGTGCTATATAAATAAACTTGCCTTGCCTTGCCTTGGGCGCAGTACCAAACTTTTTCACTACAACCAGACTCCATTACTGCCCATATAAGGATGTCTCCATCATGTTTTGAGTGATCTGAACCATTATTTCCACTATTTTTATACAATTTATGAAGTAGGCATCCTATTCAGAAGTAGTAAGGGAAGTTTGGCATATTTTGATATGAATTCAACCTCAATTCATACTTTGCAGTCACGTGACTACCATGGATACCTGGCGGTCAACAAACGGGTATTTTCAACGTAGAGTCCTGTAGTTCCAGGTCTTATGGGTCTTTTAGTATCTATCAAGTCTGTTAGCGAGCTAGCTGCATAACTATGGACTAGAAATAGGATTAACTCCAAGGTAGCTAAATTGTGTAAAGCAGATAAGGTTTTTTAAGATAATCGAGCAGTAATAATTCCTCCGTAAATAATCTAGCTCTACTGTTGGGTCATCTCTGGTTCTCATTGAAAACCATAGATATCACAAACCTCAAAACACCAACTTTTGTATAGTAAAACTGGCGACGTCCTGGCAAGATCCTTGATTAGTTTACTGGGTTTCGTTGCTGGAGTGGAGAACGACGTTCTTGCCCGCCAGCCAGTACTTGTGACGTCACGTGCAAAGTATGAATAAATAATCACATAAAAATAACACGCATGTGCGTTATAGCTCGCTGCCACATCACAAATGGTGAATCTATAATTTTTTTTCTTTAAATTTAAACATTTTCAAACCTTTAAAAAAAAAAATTATGGATGTTATCTTTTGAACTATTCATTCATTGAACTAACTTTTGAAGTATAGGATATTACGGTTTGCCACCCACATAAGTTAAGTTACTGCAATAAATTGTTGAATAATATTTTATTTACTTTCAAAATCAAATAGCTGATCTCCTTAAAATGATTATCTAGTCTTGCTCACTAGGGGGTGTTTCAGCATCCCTCTTAATTAACACACAAATGGGAAAGAATGATGGGGTTGTTGTTCTGACTAACACTTTGATATTAAGACAAAGTTTGGATATGCATGCTGTGAAATAAGCAGAAACAAGTAAGAGAAGTAATATATAAATTTTATTTAAAAAACAAACACACATCTCATACAGTATGCAGAAAAATAAATTAATATATTGCAAAAAAAATCTATTAATAATCTTTTTATTTTAAATGCTTTTACAATGCATTTACTTTGTAGTGAACTGTCTTAGGATGTTTAGCCCAAGTCAGTCACAACAGCAGCCACAAATGTGACCTTACAACCAAAGCATGAAAGCACAGTTCCCATGCCGTTTGTAAAACTTTATAACATACAATAAATATCTCAAATAAATAGCCTACATCCATAATAAATAATTCTTTGAATACTGAAAATAAATAAAAATTCCAATACTGCCGAGGAGGGTTTCAGAGTCACATTCTTGCAGAGCAGGATTCAAACAGGTAGTGGAAGAGAATAATCGTCTCTCCGATTGCTTTGTTACGAGCTAGTGTCAAACTCTGAAGAACAAACACAATGGATATTAAAGGCATGCAGAAGACCACATTTATCACTGATTTAACACTGAACAAAAACATCAACTTACATTACGTCCAAAGGCACTAAATCTTTCCTTGTATTTCGTGACTTGTACATGTTCTGCACTGTCGATCTGTAAAAACAGAATGTTTAGGATACAGAGCACATATAACAGTTGGTCAGCTGGTCAAAAATATCAAACCGTTTCAAACACTCACACAGTGTGGTTTCAAAATGTGTGCGACCCTGTGCAGATCAGACCTCACAAAACGAATTTGTGGGTATTTCTCAACGTGCTTATGATCATCTGCATGCAAGATGTGGTTTAGATAGTAATCCAGAATCATGGTGTTGATGCAACAAGCGCCCTCTTCCTAGAACAGATATTATCATAATGTTTAGTTATGCCATAATAGTTTAGTAAGAAATCTAACAGAAATCCACTGAAATTTATTTGATTAGTCAACAGTACTTATTCCATTGCAAGAAATATCTGTTCCATTGTTATTGGTAACTAATTGCAACATTTTGTTCAATTTATTTCAACTATTCACTTCCAATTAGTATGTATTAGTCTCAACAATAGCTAGTGAATAGTGTTTTTTAGCAATAAGTATTAGTATGTAACGACTAATTGAGTAGATACTATACAGTTACACTTTAAACCAATTTAGACTAAAAGTAACTTTGCAGCTACATGTCAACTAACTCGCATTAGAGGATTAGTAGACTGGGTTAGGGTTAGTGGAGCATGTAGAATGTCTGTTGGCAGATATTAAGTAGTCAACTAAAACTCCAATGACTGCCAGCTGACATGTAGTTGCAAAGTTACATTAAACTGACTTTAAAAAACGAGCGGAATCTTGTATAACTTAAAAAATAGAAAATTGCATAACTTACTTTGATGAGTTAAAGCAATGTAAAAACATGTTGCCATAACTTATTGATCATATGTTTTAGAATCTAACAGATATTATTCACAATTAGAAAAAGTAAAGTATCCAGTGGCAGCAAACAGTCAAAATTGGATTGCTTAGCCTACTAGTAAAATAATTATTACCACAATTATTACTTAATGTTAATTATCACACATACATTTAGCATAACCTCGGAGAAAACTGGAAGCAGTCGTGTTTCGTGGTCTTTGTCTTCCTTTTGTGCCTGCAAGGGTTAATATGCATAATGTTATACATTGTATTTTCAAATAAATAAAAATCTATATAATTACATAACTATATAAAAATTCAATTAGTTAAAACATGATAGATATTTGATGTATATAGCATATAAATTGCAGCTGAGGCGTTCAAACGTACATGTTCAGTCATCACATAGAGGTCGTTCCAGGTGACGGGGCTGTCTAAAGGCTTGGGCCGCGGGCGCATGAGGTGCATCGCCTGGCCTCGCACAAAGCACCAGCACATCACAGCAAGCAGAGTTAGGAACTTCATATTGCAGGTAGACGGGTGGATTCAGTGATATGTCCTCTTGTGTAGACTGATGTTCCCCGCATACGAGATTTGGAGTGCATGTTGTGACTAGAGCTTTTATATTCTCCAGATTTGTCCCAGTTATTACCACATACGTCACTGTGGTATTGTCTCTTTACCTTTGGCGTAATCCCCCAACCTCTGCTGCACCTGAAGTTTATCAGGTCAAACGGATCTCTGAGAAACCTCGCATGCTTCATATTCGCTGACTGTTATGATTGCATCGGAAATTCGTCTGACAGAAATAAATCTTCCAATAATTATGCTGCAATAAGGACATAGAATGGGGAAGCATTCTGAAGTGGACAGTTCCTGTGAATTCCCCGCACTGGCGAATAGTATTAATAAGTGCGCGACAAAAATAAAATCTTTATTATGTAGGTACATACAGTTATTTCCACTTAATGTTGCTAGGTAACCTTTAAATAACCCCTTTCCTGATCAGTATGTTATGAGTTTGAAAGATGCAAGTGCGACAGGGAAAGTATTACATCATAAGCCAAATGTTGCTAAAAATCCTGTCAGGATGTTTGGGGAAGCTGTCAAACGTGTGACAGGAACAATAAGGACCACTGCAATAAAAGAACCAGCGCATTTGATTGAATTCATTACGTCAAACTGTGCAATGCATATTGCCGAAAGTAACATAAAAAGTCTGTGTATTTATGAATTTATTACCGGTTGGTAATTTACTGACGTTAAGTCTCAAAGATCTTATCTTTGCGAAATTCTTTTTACATAGCTCTTCTTCATTCATAAAAGTTATATGGAAAGGTTCTATGATTTATTACATTATTCAAAAAATATATTAAAACGAAACTTAAAAGATGTGAATGGTTGAAGTTATTTAAAAAGAACATTTAGGCCCTATGAGGCATGTGTACACACACACACACACACACACACACACACACACAGACACAATATGTATATCAAATGTAACCCTAAAAGTAACTCTTATTTTTTTATTCTGTCCTAATATCAACAAAGGCATGTCTGTGAGGTGGACAGATAAAAAGAGAATATTTTTGCTTTTTTGGTGGCACAGCAGTCATATGTTGATTCAATAGTCACTGGATTTGTTGAGTTCATTAAAGGTTTAGACTAACTCAAACTGCTAAAGTTTTAGAATGATTATTTCAAGAACCGGTTCATAAGAGTTACTTATTCGTGAATCACGTGTTCTGCATGTAAAATATAGTGAAGAAAATACTGATCTGTGACATGCTATGCATTCTGACAGAAATATGTGAATACAGAATACCGGTAAATAAATACGGCCAACAACAAATTTGTTAATTGAATTTGAACTCATTTTTTCATGTTTATGACATGGCATGAACACCTGACGCCATTCTCACACTTTGCACTTTGTGCAATCCCTGATGTAGTTGGTGAGGCTGAATGTAATGCTATTGTGGTTTTATTGTGTTGAATTGCTCAACCTAGAGCTATTAAATATTAATATTTCATTTTGTATCAAAGAGAAATATACATCATCTTTGTATCTATCATTAAAAAAAATTATTACTTTTTTGCAGACTGAGTTATAGCGTTTAATTAGCAAAATCATTTGTACTGAACTAGTCTAGTCATATTAAAATTGTAAGTAAATAAAATAAATATAACAAATCTCTTTTCTTCATTTTTAAATACCAGACTATCACAAAAACAAATCAGATTTTTAAAACTGGGAGAAAGAAATTTCCTGTTTACATCCTGAGGAGTAAATGGCTATTTTTCAGTTAATGCACAGCTGATGAATGGGCTTTGACACATTAGCGCTTTCCCCAGAATTCCTCCTTCCTTCTCTGAGCGCGGCCCAAGAGCTCAGAGGCCACGGAGCATGAGGCTGCTGATCTAGATGAGATCTGGGACATCTTATCATCTGGATTTAATATGAAAAAGAGATTTTAAAAATGTTCAATGAGAAATATATAAGAATAATATTATTAAACATAATTATAGAAGACATTTTAAGATATTACTGTTTCCATAAATGAGTAATTAAGGGCAACATATGCACAAACCGTGCAGACATGCAATCAATGAAACCAGTGATATGAATGCATTAGCTGTTCTTGATATGCGCACCACATCAAAAGACACGTTGATCTAATTTCTGTTCCAACTAAAACTGCTAGACAGTCATAAAAGCATGAAGTAACTGTCTGTAACTGCTTATGGCTACTCATATCTGCAAATATTAAGAAGATGATTTTACCATTCTCTGACACAGCAGAATCAGATTCAGGAAACAGAGACAGCTCTGGCCGAAAAATTCCCAGGTTACCTATTGACACAAAGAGGATATTGTAATAATGTATGGGTGGATTACATAAATGAACGTAACATCATAGGCAGTGAAACTTAATCACGTAATTTCCACTTTCTACACTGTACATGTTTTGTAAGGTTGACTGGACGTACAAGTCAACAATATCGTGTTTAATATGATTCAATCAACTTAACTACATTAGGTTAGACCAATGGTCAGATATAACAACTGACAATTTCAGACATTTACAGTTTTTCATTTAAAGTTGATTACCTTATGCTGTATATATGTAACACTGAATAATTCTCAATACTGGCAGGGAAATAAAGTCAAATTTGGCAGTAGTTTATAATGATTTTACAAATGTACTACTGATCAAATGTTTGGGGTTGGTACATTTTTTAAATGTCTCTTATGCTCACCAAGGCTGCATTTATTTTATAAAAAAAATACAGTAAACATATTAACATTGTGAAATTTTATTGTGATTTAAAAAAAAAAAAAAAAAAAAAAAAAGTTTTCTATTTTTATAAATTTGATGTAGTTTATTCCTGCAATGGCAAAGGCATTTTCAGCAGCCATAACTCTTCAGTCATATTAATAATCAGAAATCATTTTAATATGCTGATTTGGTGCTTTCTTATTATTATCACAGTTTTAAACAGTTGTATAGCTTAATATTTTTGTGTAATTTGATTTGAAATAGAAATTTTTTGCGAAGGTGTCTTTAAAGTCACTTTTAATCAATTTAATGTCATTGATGAAAAAAAATATTTCTTTAAAAAAATACTTTTGAATAGTAGTGTGTGTGTATATATATATATATATATATATATATATTATTATTATTATTTTTTTTTTTTAATTATGAGTTAATTATCTTTATCATTTTAGTGATTATATGACTGTTTAAAAAAAACTTGTGTATACGTTTTTTGAATGAGACTTTTCAAAGAACTAATTCATGTCAAATGCCTTTGAGGTATAAATGCAATAATTCAAATTATGATAGTTCTCTTGAATTGTCATAATTAGGAGATACGCAAGTATACATCAATCAATAGGTGCATTAACTACACTTGATAGAAGTTAAATAATCTTTTGGAATAAATGACTCCAGGAGGACCAGGGAAAATCTGACCCTGTAGCATGAGGACAATACAGTGGTACCAAAATCATGCACTGACGACTGACGTTAGTGGAAAAAACTAAACAGACACAAAAAAGACAATAGGAGACTGACCTAGATTATTCTCCCCCTATTGCTGGCGGTAACCTAACCTCCCTCTACTCCTTCTGCTGGTAAATGACTCAGTCACGTTTCAATTGCGTGCTTATAGAGTGGCGGTTTTTCTTCCCATGTATGGATCGATGATCACGCAATCAAATAAAGCCATATTTTTGTAGCGCAAACTAAAATGTTCACTTCTAACGTGCATAAATGTCTCTACAGCTTGTTAACGCTCAGTGTGAATTCATAAAAGCTGCGATCGGTAGGCTTCTCATAATAAAACTCCCATGGCTGACACTAGATCTACATCAGTGGATGCTGAAAGGAAGCATACCATTATGCTGAAACTCCGGGTTTCTCATCATGCCCTGAATTCTGTTGGGAAGTGGAGAGACAGCAGCTTTGTGACAGTGGCTGGTCAGTTGTTTTTGTGTTGGCTTGGGTTGTCTTGGATGGGGGGTGTAGTCTGCCGCTTTCGCTTCCTTATCCTCAGGCCAAGCATCTTCACGCATGGGAAGTAGATCTACGGTGGTCAGGCCAGCAGCCGGTGGGGAACGTGGCAAGCTTCCATTCTCAGCCTTCGCAATACAATGGAGATTGAAATCTGAAGACAATGTATGACATAATATTGCATTTGACTTAAGAATCATGTACCTTACTGCGTGGCTGCTGTGGAGAGCCATCTATGATATGTTTATAAGGAGAGTGAGGTTTTCCTAAAGGTGGCTCACTCCTCCTAACTTTCCTGGAGGAATGTTTGATCTTCGGAGGAGAGACCAGCAAAGCTCCTCCTAAGAAAATTAATAAATAATATATATATATATTTTTTTTTTAATTCTCCTTTTTTCCCCTTAATTGATTACAAAGTATGTCTAACGAACTAGAGGCTTGGAGTCATTCTGACTGCAAACCATTAAATCAAATTGAAACTGTTGCGAGATGCCAAAAGTAAAGGTTAAGTAAACTAAAACATTATTCAATAGGTCGATGTGGCCTAAACTTTTGAAAGTATTGTTAAGTATGTTTGTTACCAGTGGCTGGAGTTGTCCGATCGTGATGCGTTCTTTGTACAGTCTGCATGGTCTTCAGTTTGGGGGTTGGTAATCTGCCCGCATCTCCAGACCCCTCCACCACCAATGATGACTCAGTTTCCAATAGCTGCAACCTACAACAGATATGAGAAACGTCTGAATGAAAAACTGCAACGGCATAGGCAGAAACATTTTGCACGCTGGACTTAACTATGAAAATCCCACTGTAAACCAGCATTTTGCATCTTTCAGAACTGAACTGGAAATTACTTCTAAATTCCAATACTATTCTTGCATAAAATTTTCATATAATATATACAATTCATATATAATATAAAATAAAAAAATTATAATAGCTTTTATTTTTCATTTGAATTATTCTTAAACTAAACTATTTTAAATCATTTGTAATTAATAATCATTTTTTAATATTATTGGTATCTCTGCGTTCATTTCTTTGAATTGTAATTCATTAACTTCCTCTTCATTTCATTTCAAATTCCAGCTCAACTTGCTGTGTTGCAGCCAACTCAATTCAAATTCTTCAAATCTGACTTTTGCCCAACAATGAGACCGTCATGTCCATGTTGGTTCTAGCGTTGGCGGGTTCTCTTATCTCAAATGCAACTGAGGTGAGGTGACAATTCAGAGAAACAACAAGCACATACCTGTCATTTCTCTCCTTAATGTTTCCACGATCATCTTTTGGATTCCACTGATTTTTTTCAACTGTGAACTCTTCCTGTGAAATCTCAGACTCATTTCTCTCTCCATGTCCCTCTTCTTCATCCCAGGCCAACTTCCTCTGCACAGGAAGGGTTGGGTCCTCTCCAAGAGAGCTTCTCCTGCTGGCTGTCACAGAAGCAGAAGGTCCAGGGCTAGAGCTTGCCCTGGTACTGCCAGCCCTAAATAGACATGCCAAAGAGACCAGGGTCCGTATTCACAAAGAATTTTATCTTACCACTAGGAGTACTCCTAAATCCCACTAAAATATTTTAGCTAGGAGTTTTCTCTTAAAAGTTCTTCACAACGCCTTTCAGACCTACTCTTAGTAAGGAAAAATGACAACTCCTAAACTAAGAGTGAGTCTTCGTTGCTATGAATGACGTCAATTCTCATGCACGAGCTTCCTCGCAATGATCACGGTGATTGGTTGTTAGATGACAGGGCCTTCATGCGGAACATAACACAGACGCAACAAATCATGGAATTACGACATCTAAATATGTCTGTGTCCTACACAAAATAATAATAGTAATGTCATCGAAATGCATATCATGTTTGTGCATGCCCCAGTGAAGTGTAATTCTAAAAAGACAGAGAGAGAGAAAAAAAGTCGTGAATTAAATTAAATTAAATCAAGGTATCCTAATACCCTAATGAAAACAGCCACTTGCCTAATAATAAAAAACGACACTTGCATTAACACATTGATTGACATCCTATTAGCCTAAATAGACTACTTAAAGCAAGGGAATGTTGCTCCTATTGTAGTAATGTAATAGTTGAATGACGGTGGATTATGAACTCGCCAAAACGGAAAAGAAAGCCCAACTGGACGCAGGATCAGTTATGGTGTGTTCACACCGAACGCGAATAGAGTGTCAAATACGCGTCTATCGCGTCTAGTGACACTTCAACATTCACTCAAGGTCAAATTTTTCAACTTGCGCGGAAGACATTCGCGGCAAACGCGTCGCCCAATTCGTGTCATTCGCAACGCCTGGCGCGAATGATGCGTCTATTCGCGTCTTTGCATTGACTTTGTATGTAATCTACTCGCGCAAATAATTAAATTCGCGTTCGGTGTGAACACACCATTACTGCTGCTGGCTCAGTTGGTGCTAAATGGGACGACTGCGAGAGGCGGTGGTATGCGCTACAATCCTTTGTGAATAGGTCTTAGTGAGTTAGGAGTCCTCTCGACTTCTTTTAAGCTGTCCCAGACTTAGGTGCTACTTTTAGGGCTAAAATGCTTCGTGAATTACTCTTAGTGAAAAAAATTAGGAGTCCTAAAGTTAGGAGTGACACGCCCATTATTTTTAGGAGTTGCTCCTAAATTCGCCAGTTAGGAGCTACTTTTAGCCTTTGTGAATAGGGCCCCAGGTCATTAATAAACGAAAGCTCTGAGCTGACTATAAGAACTATGATGCCTGAGCTCTGGTCACCTGGCCAGGTCCAGAGCCTCAATGATAGGGCTGCTACTGGTGCTTCTGCAGGTCTCAGATTCAATGGAGGATGAGGAGGTGCCATTTGAAGGCTCCCACATCCAGTTGTGATCTGACAGGATCTGATTCAAGTGTTGCCGAGAAAAATGAGTTCCCCATGCCCGTTTCCTGTAGGCCTCTGCCTTCTCACGTAGCTCCCGCACCTGTCGAAAAACAGCAGAACTTTAGAATTGTCATAAATCAGAGCCTGGAAAAATAGGGCAACGCTGCAGATAATATGTGTAGACAAGACGACTGATAATTCACAGCAAGCACAGACAAAACACTGCTTTAGATATTCAGGACTCAACAATAAGAATGTCGAGCTGACCGAGTGAGATTTTGGGCCAGTTGACGTAATGTTTTAAAAATCATTATTTAATTATAATAAAAATTATAATTTAAAAGTAGTCAACTTTTTTGTCATGAAAATATATTTCTTTCAAACATGTATAAAAATATGTTGGTAAAAATCAACATTTTCTGAGGTGGGAAAATGTATTGTTGAGCCCTGATATTGTAATTATACATGCTTAACAAAAATTTGATGAATCATTATAAATTCACATCATGCAACATTGTCAGATCCGCTTCGAAACCCGTGGAGAATGCGTGTAAAAGTGGAGGCAGTCATGCTCCGCTCCTAAAGAGCTGACTCAAAAAGACACCCCTGTCCCATATGGCAAGAGTTGCATAAAAGTTTTGCTGGAGATGCATTGAAGCATACTTGACACCATAACCTAAAATCTAGTACTTCTGTCTTACAAAAGTTACTTTGTTTTTACAGGGTCAGCATGATACGAAAACCATAAAAATTCAAGCACTGAATTTATCATCATGACAGATGCTGACCATGTAAAAAACAAAGAAATCAGATCAAATAATTTACCAAACAGCAAAGGTCATAGTGTGACACTCTCATACAAATTGAGAAATAGTGATAAAATATATAATATGACAAATATTAAATATACATCTTTTTACAAAAAAATATTATTTTTGTCCCCCTCTGTCAATTTCATTTATACTCCAGCTGTGTATTGTTATGATTTACTTTTGAAATTGGGCAATAATGTTGGCTCCTCTAATATGCTAATATTGATTCAGATCTATTCTGTTCCTTCCTACCCTCATTTGTAATGAATAATGAATTAATAAACAAATAAGTAAATAAATAAAAGTACAATTAAGTGTTATGAACTGTGCCTTAACGTTTAGCTATGCTTTTATATAATCAGCGAGTGAGCCAAGAGTCAATATAGGGTTACACCTGAAAGCAAAAAAAAAAAACAGCAAAACCACAGACAACTTCAAAGTTCCAAGTATGCTGACAGATAACATCTTGATGACTGATCCCACATGCACACATACACAGATTGAACGAACACACACACAGAAACTTCGAGTCTAGGTCTATATGAGATGATACCATTTAGTCGAAGTTTGAATGATGTCATACATTTGATGCGGCAGAACAGATACACATAAGCAAATGAAGGTATCTGTTGAGACAGCAGCAGCAGCTAGAGAATGGATGTAACAGGCGGTACAGTTACCTCATGATACCACTCGTGAAAACCATCACACTCCTGCAAGATTAATCACACAGACCAGTGATTAGAGAGATTATATATCTGTTTCCTAATAGCTCTGCCACTTTAATCCACCACAGCTCAAGCTTTCATGTAATGTGGTGTCAGAATTGCTCTTGAATTACTATAGTAGCCGTCATACCCTCTGGTAATTTTTTATTTGCTGTGTTTAAGTCACCCTTGTGACTTCTAAGTTCTAGAAATACTTTAAGATTTAAAATAAATTAGTACTTTTTAAAGCTGGAAATTTGTCCAGTTGCCTGGACCTTCAATGGAGAGACATTCATTTAAAATATCTTCGTTTGTGTTTCGAAGATGAACCAAAGTCTTATGGGTTTGGAACGACATGAGGGTGAGTAAATGATGACCATTTTTGGGTGAACTAACTCTTTAAATCTTGAATTTTATTTTTATTTTAGGCCTGTACTTTTGTTCCCATAGATTTGCTTTCTTTTTCCAGAAGCTCACCTCCTCCTTTGCAGGTCTGACCTTCACCCACGCTTTATCTCTGTAGCTGTATTGGATGGGAGAACGGAAGTTGGATCTGTACTCAGTTTTCACCTTCCTGCCAAACAGAAAAAGAGGGAGACTGGTAAATACTCTTGTGGAATTAAAAAAAAAATTAGACACAATTTGAAGAATTTATAATTGTAACCTGTTGAATAAAATACAGGTGTCAAAATAAATATGTTGTGGTTATGTGCTGCTTAAGCAAAATGCATGAAACGGCCATATGAAATTAATTGTCTGTGTTGTTTCTGTTTTTTTTTTCCAGTCCTGTATAAAATTATTTTTAAAAAGACAACAGTCACCTCATAGCCTTGGGTGAAGGGTCTCTCAGGGCACAAGGTGACCTCATTTCCTGTTTCTGTAGATAGGTGACTTCCTCTTCGGGGCTTGACTTCCTGCTGTGTTGTCGCTCCTTCTTCTTCTTCCTCTTACTCTGGTATGGTGGGCATTTAGGCAAAAGCACAAGAAATACCATGTCAAAGGTACAAACATTTTTTAAAATGCATACTTCCTCACTATACATTGGTCAGCAATGCATGTGTAAAGAAAATTACCATTTATTAAGATATATGAATTTCAGTTATCTATAGTTGGATGCATTTACATTGTGACTGTCCCTCACATGCATTCAACTGTCTGTCAGGGTTTGATCAAATGGCCCATACAGGTGCTCTAACAATAGGTTGGTGAAACTGGTTTATCCGGCTCCATACTTATGCTGTCATACTTGGAAAGTTTGATGTATGTGACTAAGCTGAATGTATATCCACCAAAATTTGTGACGCAGAACTAAGCGATTTTCTTTGAATGTGTGCAACTTCCCATTTATTAGCAACTATAGGGAAATAACTCGAAGAATAACAAAGGGCAGTAAACGGTAAATCTATTTGCACTACAAAGAGTTTGTTTATGATTATGATAATTAAAGGTGCTCTAAGCGATGTCATGTGTTTTTTAGGCCAAAACATTTTTTGTCACATACAGCAAACATCTCCTCACTATCCGCTGGCTGCCTGTCCCCTGAACACACTGTAAAGAAACGCGATCTCTGTAGACAGCCCATGCTTCACAAACAGCACCAAAAACAAACTGCAGCGACCCGCTCCCCAAAACATAACAAACTGTTCCAGCCAATGACCGACAAGAAGGGTTTGGGGGTGTGGTTTGGGGGGTTAGTGTGCGGATGAGGAGGAGGGAGGGTCTAGCTAGCCTCCGTTTTGTTTGACAATAGTTCGAACGTCAACAAGAAGTGACGTCACCCAGGATCGCTTAGAGAACCTTTAAAATAGTATGACAGCAAATACCAATTTGCAATATCAAGCAGCATAACGGACTGTTAAATTAACTGGAAGCGAATGACACTGGAAGCCTTTCAAGTTACAAATGCCCCCACCCAATCTTACGTTCAAAATAAGGTGCATATTTCAATGTACCTTCTCTGGGGTTGTGTTCTCTGTATGAAGCAGAGGGATCTCATATTGTTCAACATCTCGCCTCAAGCGTGGTGGTCTGGGAGGAGGTGATCCTTTGAAATTTCTCTTGTACTCGCTCTCGATAATTACAGGGTTTGATTTGAAGGGTGGGATGGCTCTGTTGTTACTGTACAACATCTAAAACAGACATGAAATTATCCAGAACACCAAAAGGTCCAATGAGAAATGTATTTTCGATGAATAATTAAAATTTCATTCATTATAAATAAAATTCATAATAACATAATTATTATAACACACACACATATATATATATGTGTGTATGTGTATGTGTGTGTGTGTGTGTGTGTGTGTGTGTATAAAATAAACATAGCGGCATGCAAAACTGTACTGCCATCTACTGGAAGAGTGTTTTTATAGGTGAGAAATGCACACAAAAACAATCAAGGCATTCAAATACGCATCAATAATTCATATCTTAAAATATAAGAAAACACTTCAGGTGAGCAAAAGTGCTCTGTCCAATAATATGACAGTTAATCTGGCCAGGGACTGAACGCAAGCCTATGTGTGATGATAAAAATTATTTTGAATTGTGACAGTGCTGATAAAATTGCAAGGAAGTACCTCGTGTGCAGCAAGCAGGGGCGAATCGGCCACAGGCGTTTTCCACATGAACTGTCGCTGGTACTCTGAGCTCAAACGGCCATTTCTCTGTTGCTCAGACCTCAGTCCTGCTTTTTTCCGCAGTGCATGGTTAATCTAATAGACAATACAAGCTCTGAATTACTTTAACTGCATTGATGGTGGTATTATTAGTTAATAATACAATTCAAATTGTTATACACCAATTTTGGTCTGAATTTTTTTTTTTTTAAAACTATATTATAATAAATATTAAGACTGGGCCTTTGAATGTGTAAATATTTCCATAAAATAAAATAGGCCAGCAGCCATATCACCCTGTAGCCCAAGATTGGTTGCCCACTGAAGCTAAGCAGGGTTGAGCCTGGTTAGTACCTGGATGGGAGACTCCTGGGAAAACCAGGTTGCTGCTGGAAGAGATGTTAGTGAGGCCAGCAGGGGGTGCTCACCCTGTGGTCTGTGTGGGTCCTAACGCCCCAGTATAGTGATGGGGACACTATACTATCAAAGAGCACCGTCCTTCAGATGAGACGTTAAACTGAGGCCCTGACTCTCTGTGGTTACAAAAAATCCCAGGATGTCTTTCGAAAGAGTAGAGGTGTAACCCTGGCATCCTGGTCAAATTTGCCCATTGGCCTCTATCCATCATGGCCTCCTAATCATCCCCATATATACCAATTGGCTTCATCACTCTGTCTCCTCTCCACCAGTAAGCTGGTGTGTGGTGGGCGTTCTGGCGCACCATGGCTACCGTCCGTCGCATCATCCAAGTGGATGGTGGTGGAGGAGATACCCCCCTCTATGTAAAGCGATTTGAGTGCCGGGAAAAGCGCTATATAAATGTAATGAATTATATATAGGTGAGAAATGTAATGAATTATATACATTTTATCTATCTATCTATCTATCTATCACATATATATATATATGTGTGTGTGAAATTAATTGTGGTATAGAAATACAAAGGAATCTTCTCCTCAAGAGGAATAACTTGCTATTCCCCATTAACCCAACTTTGCACCGATATACTTTTTTAACACTGACTTATAACCAGACTCACTCCATTTAGTCTCAGCTGGTCTGCAGCACTGGTGGATGTCTGAGCTGCTTGAGCCTCTGCTTTTAATTGGTGGGATGGTGCAGTGGTGCCCTCTGGTGGCACGGGGTCTCTAGGGGCTAGAGGGGTCTTTTCTCTTTCTGCACTAGAGGCTCTGAGCACAGGTGTGACAGCAGGAGGTGTGACAGGCCTGCTCTTCTCCTGACGCTGTGGAGATGAAACATGCCCTTCCCAGTGGAAAGAACTGGATACCTGAGGTGGATAAAATTTCCTTTTGGATATGAATTGGGGTTCCCGAGTAATTCCTTTAAATGATAGAAAAAGATCAATCAGTTCAATATTAACCAAGTTATTAATGTGATGAGCTTATTCATTTTTATGAATATTTGTATGTATGTATCTATCTATCTATCTATCTATCTATCTATCTATCTATCTATCTATCTATCTATCTATCTATCACATACTTGACTGGTCAGAGGACAGTCCTGCCAGTCGCATCCTGCGATGTGGAGAATCGGTTCTTGGTCGTGTTGTTCGACTCTTGTATTTACTTCGATACTCGCTGATTCCCTATTAGAAGAAGAGCATACAAGAAACAAGTACACTTTATAGCACAAATAAATCGGTATATTTAAATGGGCGGTATAATAAATTACATATCTGATTTATTAGAAAAAAACATGATTAACTAGCTCTTAGCTGACAATTGGATAATCTTGATGCCATTGCCTTTTAATCCGCGCACAAACTTCAAGAAATAACAGGAAGTCCCGACAATAGGTTATAAAGGGTTTACCTTTTAAGTTTAACACGTTTCTTAATACAGTCACGTAGTTTATCTTTGTTTTCGGCAAAGCGTAAACTATAGTTTACTAGAATTCATATGAATGTCAATGTATATTTGGTTACCTAAAAGTAAACAACCAGACTAAATATCAAAACTGAAAGCATGTCTGCAGCGCGCGCTCTATGTTCCTTAAACAAATGACGTCGCACAAGCGCGTGCACCTTCAATCTGTGTTAAAAACAGAATTCGTTTCCAATGGATAATTTAAATAACTCACCTTAAAATGCACAGTCATTTTGAGTCAGAGGTAATGGCGACTAGTGCACAAAGAGGTCCGTGAACAAAAGAAGTGTTTTATTTTTGTTTTTTTGTTGCTCGCTTAGTGGTGTGAGATTAGATTCGGTTGCAGGCTCGAGCTGTTACCTTGGTGAGGGCTGCAGCGTCCCACGATACGCGTAACGCGCATGCGCAAGCCGCTTTGTTATGACCATGGTTATGACGTTTTACTGCACCACGTGTTTGTGTAGTAGTAGTGTAATTAATTGTGATACTCCTTGTGGTCAATGTTGTTTTTCGGAATCCAAAACAAACATTCAAATAAAATAAGATCTTAACTTTTTAAGAATTTCAGTTACACTTTGATTTCTTTTTGGAACAATTTGTTTGAGAAGCTAAAGTGTAAAACAAATGTGGTCTTTATTGCAAAAAATTCTTGCTCAGAAATAAAATAAAAGAAGTACCCTTAAAATGTAAACTCATATATACCTTTGTTGCTTCAAAAATATATTTATCAATAGACGGTTTTTCAAATGTCACGCCGATTATTTACCACCAGATGGTAGTAAACGGTGAGAAAAAGCATCCAGGAATAATACATGCAACTTCTCCTTCACTACTACTCAAATGTGTAACTTGACTTGCTACTTACTTACGAGTAACGTTAGCATGTTGCTAAACTCAAAAGTTGCTTTCTAAACACTTATTTGCTAACCCTGGTATCAGTTTTAGGTAACCCAACCATTCAAAATCGAGGCCGATACTACTTTAATCGCTTTTACAAATATCTACCGCCATTTCTGTTTGGTTTATGTAGTTACACAGGATGGTAGCACCTTTCAGCGAGGATTTGCGGGTCTCTCTCAAATTTGGGGACGTGGCAAGACGTACCCAATAAGACAATTCACTAGGTGAACAACGGCCTTGAGCGACGCATCAACCGATTTTGTAGTATCTTGTGCTGATTGGTTTTCCGTTCGACTGTAGCCAATTAAAAGAGAGTGCGCGGAGTCAGCGCATTATTAAACAACGGTTTCCGTTACATCCGGAGTTTGTAGTGCTGAAGTGGCCCAATGGCAGTGGACGGATTTCACAATTCGCGCTGTGATTGGATCGCATCGTTGCTCTCGTCCGAAAAACGGTGTGGCACAGGGGTTTGCAGATTGAACTAAAGACCCCCAGTATTGTGTCTGAGATTTTCGGCCTCGTACTAAATCTAGGTAAGTTTGTATTTTTATACGTGTTTGTTTGTACTATAGAAATATGTTTGACCGTTGCATTGCCTGACCGTGTGCGTTGTAACGTTAATGACGACTCACTTAAAGGGACAGTTAGTATTGATAATTAAAGGGTTAGTTTACCTCCAAATTAAAATTCTGTTATCATTGTCTCACCCTAATGTTGTTATAAATGTCTTTCTTTCATTTGTGGAAAACAAAACTAGAATGTTAGAGGACAGACGGCCCCAGTCACCATTTTTTGCGTTCATTGCATTCTTTCCATACAATAAAAGTGAATGGTGACCGAGACTGCCATAATATCTTATGTGCCGAAAGGTAACGTTAACATGTTGGCCTCTATTTGTGCTTTTGGATCATATCTGTCTTAGTTTTTGTTTACGTATATGTTAACCAGTAGTAAAAAGCTTTTGTGTTATTTTTGTATTAGACTAATCATAACTGTTTCTCATATTACTGTGCCTAGTGCCTACCAAAGTCTCAATGAAACTGCTAATGCAGTCAACATATGTCATTTATTTCTGGTGTGACTAATCTCTGATTGAGACTGAAATTATTTAAAGGCATGCTGGTCACTGTGATAACATTATTATTGCATTTTTACTATGTATTATTGCATTATAACTTTAAAGTAGCAATGTGTTTCTAAAATGTCCCATCAGAATTTGTGCCATGCCCACCAGTTTAGACCAGTTTTGTGCTAATTTTACTTGATGTGTCTTGGACGCTTGTCTTGGCTGTGCTACTTCTCGGTTTCATCATTTTCATTACACTTTTCTTTTTTTTTCTCTGGAAACACCTTTTTGTCTATGTTGACAGTTTCCTGTCAACGGTTCTGTCTGATAATTTGTCAGTCATGGTGGTTCTCTTTTCCCTGCTAACCACATTTACACTGCCGTTCAAAGGTTCAGGGTCAGTATTTTTTTATTTGTGAAAGAATGTAACACCTTCATTCAACAAGGACAAATGAAATTGTCCAAAAGTAACAGAAATCCTTTGTAGCATTATAAATGTCTTTACTTTTTCAAATCAATTCTGTTCTTTTGAACTTTCTATTCATAATATTTCTGAATGATCACGTGACACTGAAGACTGAAGTAATGATGCTGAAAATTCAGCTTTGCCATCACAGGAATAAATTACAATTTAAATTTGAATGATATTCAGCAATTTTACAGGTTTACTGTATTTTTGACCCTATAAATGTAGCCATGTATTTCACAATTCTTACTCAAACACACACAATGTTTACATACACTGATTCAAACAGACCTTGTTAACTCATCCACTTATGTTTGCACGGTGGTTTATTCAAACATAGCCACGCTAGAAATTCTTGTGGTCAGTATTATTTCAGTTTAAAAGGGATTTGGGATATATGTTAATATTTGCTCTCTCTTTCCTCAGAGCTTACATGATGAAGATGGAGATTAGGCCTCTGTTGATGTGCTTTGCTCTGTGTGTGGTTTATGCCACCAGCAAACCCACAGAGAAGAAGGACCGTGTCCACCATGATGCGCAGCTCAGCAGCAAAGAGCACGACGATGGCGCAAACTTTGATTATGACCACGATGCATTCCTTGGGGAGGAGGAAGCCAAGTCTTTTGATGACCTGACCCCAGAGGAAAGCAAGAATAGGCTTGGGTAAGGATTGTGCTGAGTGTTAAGGGGCATTTAGCAGTGATTTGCTGCAACAAAAATGAGTGGAAGTCATTATTTTCTTTGAGAGTTGGTGGTTTCCAGCAACATATGTGACTGCGCAAAAAATAATTAAGAGAGGACATTCTTATAGTGAATTTTCTTTTTGTTCTTCTTCTTTTGCTTTCAGTAAAATTGTGGATAAGATTGATGCAGACGAGGATGGTTTTGTCACAGAGGCTGAGCTGAAAGCATGGATCAAAAAGGCTCAAAAGAAGTACATCTATGACAATGTGGATAGGCAATGGAAGGATTTTGACATGAATAATGATGGCACGATCTCTTGGGATGAATACAAGAACATCACATACGGCACCTACCTTGGTAAAAATGCAGTCTCTTTTTATAAACAACCTTAAAGGATTGGTCACACAAAAAGTATAATTCTGTCATCATTTACTCAGCCGCATGTAATTCCAAACTTGAATGAATTTCTTTCTGATGTGGAACACAAAAGATGTTTTTAAAAATGTCTGTGTTTTATTTTTTATCATATAATGAAAGTCAGTGGCATCCAATGTTGTTTTAGATCCCACTGACTTTCATTTTATGAACAAAAACAGTTCTTCAAAATGTCATATTTTGTGTTCCAGAGAAGAAAGTCAGTCATACAGATTTGGAACAACATGAGTGAGTAAATGACAGAATTGTCAAGCAGAATTGCACAAATTAGTATTTTAATAATAATTTGTGCCGTCTGTGTTTTTCTAGATGATCCTGAACCTGATGACGGCTACAACTACAAGCAGATGATGGCCAGAGATGAACGGCGCTTTAAAATGGCTGATGGAAATGGAGACCACATCGCTAACAAAGAGGAGTTCACTGCCTTCCTACACCCTGAGGAGTATGAACATATGAAGGACATTGTTGTGTTGGTAGGTCTGTTTCTATTATGTCAGTTCTTTCCCAGGCTAAAATTATTGTGAAACCTGTTCGCATCCCATTTTACTTTTGTAATTTGACGTACACACTACCCTTCAAAAGTTTGTAGTTGACGCCACTTGCGGACAAAATTCCTTCCTTCTTTAACTAAAACAAGGGAACAAATTATTACAACATGCCCACGATTTAGTAAAACAAGGGAACAAGTATTATATTGCGCGCATGATTTAGTAAAACGAGGGAACGGATTATTATATTGTGCACACGGTTTAGTAAAATGAGGAAACAAATGATTATATCGTGCACACAATTGTGAATGTGCTGACTTATTAGTAAGTCATGGGAACGAATTGTTGATTTTATCTCATGCGCCGGGAATCCGTACAAAAGGACAGCTTTAATTTGAAATCTTTTGTGACATTTTAAATGTCTTCACTGCCACTTTTGATCAATTTTAAGCACCATTGCTGAATAAAAGTATCCATTTCTTTAAAAAGTACAAAAAATACCAACCCCAAACCTTTGAATGGTAGTGTATTTCTGAGTGAAATGTGTAATTCAGTGAGAAAATACGAGAGTGGTATAATTTCATCCATTGGGAATTGATTGGATCATAGAAAGTGGGTGCTTCATTCCAGAATGGATCTTGGTATTTTGGTAGGGGTTTAAAAATCAAAATACTGGTGATGTTGATTAGAAAGTAAAACAACAAACTTTTTTTTTCTTTTTAAATATGTGCACTGACGAATTTTGCCCATCAGCACATGTATGAAGGAAGTTAATAGAATCTGCTTAGGATGTTTCCTGTCTCTAGCCTATTTCACTGATCTTCCTCCTTAAATTTATCATCAGGAAACTATGGAGGATATTGATAAGAATGGTGATGGTTTTATCGACCTAGAGGAGTATATTGGTGAGTGAAATACAGTAAACTTTCCTCTGAAAGTGTTTTTTAAAAGTTTTCATATGTTTTTATACATTGCATAAAGAAGTAAATGTGTAGTTATAGCTTAAAATCGGTTGAATTTGTTTGAATTTCAGGCGACATGTACAACCATGAGGATGAAATGGACGAGCCAGAATGGGTGGCGACAGAGCGAGAGCAGTTTTCAGAGTTTAGAGACAAGAACAAGGATGGAAAGATGGACCAAGAGGAAACCATGGACTGGATCTTGCCGGCCGACTATGACCACGCAGAAGCCGAAGCAAAGCATCTGGTGTACGAGTCTGACACAGACAAGGTAAGCCCACCATAGCTTATTTTGTCAGCTTTTGTAAAGTTATCATTGAAATCATTTAAACTGAGTTGCTGGTCACACTGTTTTTCAGGATGGCAAACTCACCAAAGAGGAAGTACTCAACAAGTACGATTTGTTTGTAGGAAGTCAAGCGACTGACTTTGGGGAGGCGTTAGTTCGACATGATGAGTTTTAATTCTTTTTTTTCTAGTATAATAGAAAATTACTTTTGAACTTGTTTTGGTAAAAGTATATAATTTATTTTATATTGCTTCATCATAATACTACACTAAATCCTCAGATTTAGTTCACTTGTTTTCCCTTTTTGCACATGGAAATGCATTCACGACATGCATTCTTATTTCGTTTTTTGTTTTTACTGTAAAGTGTGTTATCAGTGTTTGTTTGATCTGTCTTTGGAATCGTGGTCCATGTACATCATTTTTATCACTTCAATACTGTTTATATTTGATAATGCAAAGCTGTTTATTCAGAACTAAATTCAAGGCAGTTTTATACATGTTACTGATCTATGATCAGCTCCCCTTGCTGTTCACAGTCCTTTTCATTAGGATACTGTACTGAAAGCTCTCAGATTGGTTTCTTTCGAGGGTTTATACAAATAGGTATAAAATATATGTATATATTTACACGTTTATGTGAATATGTTTATAGCTTTATACATATAATCTCACATTTCTCTCCTGTGTGTATTGGCACAAACATTGATTGATGTGGACCCTCTCCGTTTCTCTCAAAAGGCAATATACTGTTTTCTTTCTATATTTATTTAGGAAAAAATCTTCATTCACGCATCCCATGAATTTCTATCAATATTAGATTTGTGTATTCTTAAAGACTCCTATAGATTCTCAACACTCATCTCTCATTGTGCCTGTCACTAATTTTCTATTTGATTTGGATCTTCAGTTTGAGCTATATGTCTAAAACTTCAAATAATTTTGGTTCATAGGGTCCAATCGAACACATTGCTGAATAGTTAGTTGCTTTCAATTTCATCAGTTGAAATACACTATCAATTATATGATGTTTGTAACAAATTTGCTATGTGACAAGCATAGCAGCATCCTTTGTGGTCCATTAATGCATTTCTTTCCTATATAAAATGTTTTAGCACCTAAGGTTTTCAGGTGACTTCCTTCAAATGGTGCTGTTTTAACTCAATAGACTGTATCTTGAAAAGAACAAATTGTCAATAAAGAATTATGACTGATTATCTTTTTTCAGTAATTACTTTCTGTCTATTGTTTTGTTTGAGATTCCAAATAATAGAAGAAATCTAAAATCTTAAAATAGAAGAAAATTAAAATAATACTTTTAATGACACTTCAGATTCTATTAAACAAGCAAAATATGAGGGGTATGTTATATTGGGTTGAAGACCTTATGGGTTTTATTGTATTATGCAGACAAAGCATAGAAAAACAAAAAGCATAATGGAAACAAAACATACAATGCAATCAGTAAATATTGTGTGGGATCTCCTTTGTTTTTGATTACAGCAGCCATTCTGCAGGGCATTTACTCACTAAACTTTGTGCATGTCGTGCTTAACTTCTTTTCCAATCCTCCTTAAGTTCTTCCCAAAGTTGAGCTTCATTGGAAGACCTGCATGACTTCTCACAATTCAGCTTTATAATTTCCCAAACGTTTTCAATGGCATGAAGGTCAGAGGACTGAGTAGCCCACTTGAAGACTTCAAAATGCTGAGCATGAACGCTTATTGCGTGATCATATATCATGTTGGAAAATACAGATTTGCTCTCCAAACAGATCCTCCATACTAAGCTACATGTTCAGCAGGATTCCTAAGTGTTGGTCCATTTTCAAAGTGCCTTTGTATATTCTTCCAACACCTGCTGCATCAATACCATTATGTTCCCCCTGCCATGCTTGATGCCACACATGCATTTGGTATTAAAACACTATAGTCTCCGAACATACCTGACGCCATCCAATGCTAGGTTGTTAAATTTTGACTTGTTGGACTGCAGAACACTGCTCCAATCTTCCACAAACCAGTCCTTATTTTCTTTGGCAAATGCAGGGTGTTTTTTTTGCAGATAAAACTAATAAATGTTTTTTTTTTTTTTTTACTGGTACACAACCTCCAGCCTCATGTAGCTGTTGGCTTCCAGTTCAAGATGAAATTGGAGGTTGGAAGTCTCATCCAGGTCTTTAGAAGCTGTTTTAAAGTGGTCCTACATTCAGGTGATTTTTCATCCTCCAGTCAAAATGCTCACTAGTCCTCCTTGACCAGCCACAGCACTTTACATTCTGCATGGTAGTGGTCTCACTGTGCTTTTCTTGGTTCCGGAAGACAGCTCCTTCCATCCGGCCATTTTCACTGAAACCCACAAAATAACATCTTATAATATACCAAGCTATTAATATAGCTTGGTTTGACCACTTGGTCAAAAATCACGTCCGCACAATTCGGTATGTTTCATTGCGTCATGACAAATGATACAATTGAAACAGACAACACGCACGTTAGTTTTACCAGGCACAAAGTTTGAATAAAGTGCAAAGAAGCCCATTTCCCTAGGTCGGATATCACTTTTGGCCACTATATGTGTATATTCCAACGCAAAATGGATTTTGCTCATGCATTTATCTTTTTCAACCTATTGTACCTACTTATTGTAAGTTAATAGATGAAATAGAATATAAAAGTAATATGTTATATATCGACATGTTTAATTGTTTAATTGATTTGTTGATTTTAGTCTTTCAGGCAATGCGATAAAGGCCATTTCAGTTGATTAATAGAAACCAACAGGTAGAGAGAAAAAAATGCATCAAACAATATAAATCTTTATTAATTCTAAAAAACAGTGAACATGTACAAATGCATGCACACCGCATGTCTAATTACAACAGAACATGTACAGAGGTAATATAGATACAGATATTACAGATCCGACGTCATGAAGCCAGTGATTGGACAAGAGCTGTCGCTCATTATTTGTTACCAGCAAACTTCCAATGAAAGGTTCCTCAGCTGCAAACAAGCGGATGGACTTGGATAATTCCTTGTGATCTTATTTATCTTGGCTAAGCCAGCCAGAAAGCTGGTTCTGAGTAGGTTCTTTAGAGGAGAGGAGAGTAAACCGCTTAGTTAAATTCTGCTCTTTTGTCGAAACAAGCACTTTTGATTGGTATGGGGTGTTAGAATATTCTCAATGCTTAGTTTCCTTCAGCTCTCATTGTGATTGAATAAAAAACGCCATTATAGTGCATCGTGCCTAATGGGTCAGTCAAAGAGCATTTTAAAGACAAAATCAGGAATTTCCATTTTCAGTTTGCCTGAGTCCATTCACACAAGAGGATGTCTCAATTATTATCATTTTTTTTTTAGATTTTCTTTTGCAAGTTGATAAATTAAATATTCTACTTCATCATCAATGCATAATGCATTGTTTTAACATGAAATAGCAATGTTTTTCATTACAAAAAAAATAAAGAAAAGACGTAGTTGAAGATGTACCAGTTCTGATAGAAAGGATAGTTGGACATCGCCCACGGTTTGGCCATCCAGTGGGCTGCGTCTTCGGGACAAAGGGGCTCCCTTGGCCCTTGACAATGTGTAAAGGTACGGGATTTGAACAATCGGGGGGAGTATAACAGGAAAACAGGTCCTGAGAAATTTTAAATGGGGTATGGAATAATTTATGCAGCCACAGAAGAGGTTTCGGTCTTGCTGGAAACCTCTGAGGCCTCATCAATCTTCTTGCCAAATACCGTCTCCATGATGCAGGCATTGAACTGGAATACAAAATGGAAGATTAGTGTTTGTCTGCGTGTGCACAGTTATTATTCAACACACGTGTGGTGTCCATCTCACCTGTTTGTTCATGAAGGCGTAGATTAGAGGATTGTATACGCAGGAGCTCTTTGAGAAGAAAGCTGGGATGGCTACCAGACGGTAATCTTTGTTTGATTCATCAGCATTGGCAAACCACATAGCAGTTGCGGCATAGGGGGCATAGCAAAGCACAAAAGAGCCAACCATTACAATAACCATCCTGGACACTTCCTTCTCGGCCTTCTGGGTAGAGGCTGACTCAGCTTGCTGGGCTGCAACCTGTGGATAAATATTGAAACATTTCCAGCATTTCATTGTATAGCTTTTGAAATATCCATGTTTATTTTGATGAAGTACACACACACACACACACACACATTTATATATATATATTAAATTATTCAAAATAATATCCTTATATTTAATCCATATCCGATTGGAAAAGTCATGGGAAATTCAGTGTTATGCCTAATAGCTCATAGGAAGGTCATTGTAATTTCTAATGCTTTGAAGAAATTAATTGAACTGAAATTTCCATGTAGAAAAATCTGACAGTTTGTAAAAATTACATTTATTTTGTTCTGCATTGCTTTCATGCAAGAACGTAATTGAGCCTGATTTAAGCATGGCCAGAAGTTGAAATCAGAAGCAAATGAATTAATTAAATAATTATTAGATCCTTATTAATATATTAATCATACATAAACCATAAATATTGCCTGAATATATGCAATAAAAAAATTAATATTCACTAAAATCATAAAAATCTACAAATTTGTATCTATTTCTGTTTACAAGAGTTTATAAAAAGCAATGAGTTGGAACACTCACAGCACGCAGGGCTCCCAGGAGCTGTGAGTAAGAGAAGATGATGATGGTCATTGGCATGATGAAGCAGGTGATGATGAGGAAGTAAGTGTAGCTCTCTGAATTGAACTCTTCGCTTTTTGTGTACCAGTCAGGTCCGCAGGCGGTGCCGAGACCCTCGGGAATGTATCTGTACATTCAAATGTAAATTAAAATCAATCCTTAAAACTACGAGTGTGTGTGTTTCCAAATATTTCACCAAGAAAATGTCCTTCACCTGCTCCATCCCCAGAATGGAGGAGTGGCACAGGCGGTGCCAATGACCCAGGTGAACACCACGGCACCGACGGCCTGGCTTTGTCCGAACTTGAAGCCTCCGAAGGGTTTGCAGATGACCACGTATCTCTCGAAAGCCAGAACAGCAAGGGACCATCCCGTCACAAGACCTGCGAGAACAAGACAAGCATCAGCACACCAATCTGAACGTAATGTCTATGCTGTTCAAACTCATAGACTCTGCCTCTTACCCGCAATAGCTCCCATTGCTGCTTCCAACGCGCATAACGTATAACCGAGGAAGTAATAACCTCTAAGAGCGCAGACGAATACTTGGCTTACAGAGAATGTGTCGAAAATGAAGCCTGCTAGGGAGATGTTCACCAGGATGTAGTTGAGAGGCTGTCGAAGCTTCTTGTACTTCATTGTAACGAAGAGGACGACGGCGTTCAGAGGGGTGCCCACGAAAAACACGAAGCCCATGAAAGCTGCCTGCAGGTAGAAAGCCCACTTGGGGGCTAGGTGGTACTGTGGGCCCTCGAAGGGGCTGACTTTGGAAAGGTTCCCGAACTGAACGCCCCACGCGTCCATGGTTGCGCCGTTAGAGGCCTTGTTCTAGCACGGTGTCCTGGTGAAGTCAATGAGCAGCCTGACTGAACGAATGCGGACAGGATAGCCTTTTATAAAATCCTCAAAGTCTTGCCTGGTGTGAAAAGTTGGGGATGAAAAGGAAGATCATCCTCCGGGTGATCTTCCGGACATGTTGCCGGGATAATCCGCCCTGTCCATGCTAATTACACTCAACACTCTCCCGGAATCTCTAAGCACATGATTAGGCAACAGATGTTGTTCTATATATGTTTTAGGTTAAATTACAGCACAAACAACAGTAGTATCGTGTATTCAACATCTATAAAGAACATTCTAAAAGACAATTAATATTCTAGCTTTCAATAAACTTGGACTGAACATGACAGTGTTGTCTTAGAGCTGCTTTAGCCTAAGCTTAATTGAATTTGCTTCATAATTGATGAACTTTACAACGTCCACACTGTTATTGAACTGAACTGAATCAACATTGAACTTGCTTGAGCTGAATAATGACACTAATGCCTTCTGTAGTGCTGCTTTATAGCTGAATTAAACTTGTTAAACTAAATTGAATCAGCAGTGAACTGACTTGAACTGAACATTATTGTCTTCCGTAGAGCTGCTTTATTGTTGATTTGAGTTTGTTTCATAATTCATGAACTTTGCTTTGACTGTTATTGAATTCAATTGAATCAAAACTTAAATTTAACTTAGTTGAGCTGAATAATGTTGTCTTCTTTAGAGCTGCTTCATTTGTTTCATAATTGATGAATTTTGCTAAATTTACACTGTTATTTCCGTTTATTATACTTAATCTGCTGTGAAACAATCTAAATTGTATAACACACTATATGCCATCAACAACCAAATGAAACCGCATATTGGTCCACATTTGACAAGCACTTTGCTTCCCAATATCTTTAGAGGTTTCATGTTTGTAATGAATCAAAGGAATCATTTGTTAACAACATGTATTCATTACTTCAATGAGCTTTTTGTTTCTGCCTTAAATTTAGACATTGTCTAATACATTAGCTAACTGCGTGATTTGTATATGTACATTTCTGAAATACATAACTTGGACACAGTCGCCTCTGATAACAGATCACTCTAAATTGTAAAGTAGACACATGCATTTTCTGTAAAGCTTTGAAACAATATGTATTGTGAAAAGCAGCTTTACAAATAAGTGTGACTTGAATTAAATTGAAATTATCCTGGTACAGTATAAAATACTGTACTATATGCCTTGGCTAACTTTGAGGTTGCTTTATGTTTGTGGCATGTTGAGAAATGTGAAGATTATACGCGTTGTATATATTTCCTAACTGGCCCCTTAATTTTAAGACACTTTCCCTAAATGGTTTTGAAGCATTTTCTCAGTACTAAAAACACTGTCCTAAATCACTGGATCCTGATAGATTGATTTGGGGGCACTAAATCACATTGAAGGTAATATAACAGGTAACTTAAAGTATTTGACCTAGTTTTTTTTTTAGGCCAAACAAGCTTATTAGCTTGGCTTCTATTTCATGAGCAGCAGCATAAGCAGGCGAAAGGCAAACCAAACTCTTAAGGTCCCCAATCACAAGGATGAGCCGTAATCTGGAAACCAGATTTACCTAAACCAATCCCTAAAAATCCCCACAAACTGCACTGATGTCACAGAGGGATTACGTCCAAACTGGCAGTTTATCTTATTAGCTGAGACTTAAATTGTGGGTAAATTTTGATAATCTGGGGAGAGATAAAGAGAGTTAAACTGTAAATCCGGCCTCTTTTTATACACCTCACTTCAGTTCCTTCATTTCTCCTTGGAGACTCTTCTCTTCCCCTCTCTTTGCCATTTCTTTTCTCTGGTTTTGGCAGGTAAGTATTGTCTTATAGGTTGGGAGCCTTTTACAATGTGAATTTTGTTAATTATTCATAATAGCTAACGAAATGCAGCATGTAACCTGAGAATTTATTAATCTGAAGTATGCCTATTTTAGATTTTTTAGTTTAAATTGAGTTCTTTACTTGCACAGATGTAATCAAAATCAAAATTTTGCAGTTACTTTTTTAATGTTTAATTGATTATTTACAGGTCTTTATTTCTTAACTGTCTGGAAGAAATATGTATTCTGTTTATATATGTAGATGTAGATTCTTAATATTTATATATTCTGTTCATACAAACATAACAGTATCAATAACCTGCATGTTTGACAATTATATTCAGTTTATATTGTATTGTGCTACTTTTTATATCCTCTAAAATTCAAAATAAGACTGCATGTATTAGATTTGTATTAGATATTTTGTACTGTATGTTGATTTTGTAGTCTCTTAAATATTAAATGATCCAATTCACGAAAGTCAGATGCCATCCAGTGACCCGGGGTTGTATTGTAACCAAGCTATGTATCTGAGTTGCATGGGTATGATACGACCTGGGTTACAGGACGGTGATGGACATCATTACAGAGATGAACTTATGCACCTTTATCAATAGCATCAATAAATGATTACGGAATCTGATGATATGTTTACATTCATTGGATGTGTGTGAATAAAGTGGAAGATTTATTTGTTAAAAACTGAAATATAAATTCATGTGTATTTGAAGTAATATGGAATTGTGCTGTTTGGAAGATCTTTTCATTTTAGTCTGTTACGCCAACTTGTGAGAGATAGATGTGTATGAGAGAAAAAGAGAAATATAGAGAAGAAAGAGACAGGATAAGACTGAAAGACTTGGCTGGCTGAAGAAGTTCAAACTTGTCTGGAAAGCAAAGATGATCACATTCTTATGATTATTATTTTTGTCAAATTACACATGTATGATGTCAGAAATGTAAAAGTGTTAAGTGTTAAATGTAAAATGTTAAATCTCTGTGATAAATGTAGTAAAATTTAATTGTAGAGTATTATTTTTGTAAATGCTAAACTTTTCCATTATCTCATAGAGAGACCCTAAGCTTTAAAGAACAGAACAAAACGAGCAAAAAAAAAGAAGAAGAAAATCATTGATTTCTCGTCACACAGTAAAAAAGTATAATTATTATTAATTATAGATTATATTATTTAAGCAAAGGGTAATTTGTGCCTAATTTTTTTTTCAATATTTTTTATTAATTTAACATATACCATTCAGAGATTACTGCTCACTTTGAAGAGATCAGGTTCAAAGTACCAGCCAGGGCTGTTGAGGTCCACCATAAGGCGATGTGCCCCTCTACTCCCCAATATTCCTATTTTTGTTCAGCAAATGCTATACATTTTACAAGGACTGATTCTTAAACTATGTGCAACTTGCACAAAAGTAGCCTAACGGTAAGGTAAATAAAGGCAGTCTTACAAAAATATCAAACTATTGTTTAACAATTAACAAATTGAATTAATAAAGTGTAAATTACTATATACAACACACGAATGAGTGACTTTTATAAGTTGTTTCTTTTTGGTGAATCAACATCCTGTGCGAACAGTGTCAACTCAACTACTGAACTGAAAGTAATTTCATTTAGTCATCATGTGAGACTTGAAATTAACCAAGAGCTGCTAAGGTGTTAGGTTGGACAATGAAACTGAAACACCTGGTTTTAGACCACATTAGGGCCTCATTTTGCAGCCAACCAGCATCAATACATCTTGGGAATGAAAGATGCAAGTCCTTCACAATGGCCAGAGGGATTTTGAGCCATTCCTCTTCCAGAACAGTGGCTAGGTCACTATATGATGCTGCTGGAGGAAAACGTTTTCTGACTTGCTCCTCTAAAAAAAAAAGTGACTCAAAAATATTTAGATCTGGCGCAGGCCATGGAAGATGTTCAACGTCACTTTCACATTATTCAAACCATCCTTTCACAAGTCTTGCTGTGTGTATTGGTGCATTATCATGCTGATACACGGCCCCTCCTTCAGGGAAAAGGACAATGTTTGAACCATTAGGTGCACATGGTCCTCCAGAATGGTTCAGCAGTCCTTGGCAGTGATGCGCCTATCAAACAAGGTAGGGAATGTTATGATGCAGGCCAACCATCAATGATCCACCCTGTACTTCACTCTGGGCAGCAACAGTCTGTGGGTGTTAAGCCTCTTTGGGGCTTCTCCACACCGTAACTCCCATGGTGGAACAATACATGTTTCACATTGCCCACAGCCCAAGATTTGCACAGTTGGCACCAATGAAACGACATTTGGCTTTGGCACAAGTGACCAAAGGTTTGGCTATAGCAGCCCGACCATGAATATTGACTGGAGCTCCCGACGAACAGTATTGGTGGAAACAGGAGAGTCGAGGTGTGCATTTAATTCTGCAGTGAGTTGGGCAGTGGTGGTTTTATGTTTTTTGAATGCAATCCAGGTTAGTTTACCTGCACATCCCTTTCAGACAGCTTCCTCATACCTCGACAGTACTTCTGTTGGATATGGTTCTTCCTACGTGGTGGTATGTCGACATTACCCTGGATACCATAGCCCTCGATACACCACAAAGACTTGCTGTCCTGTCACAGATGCAATTTGTCCACTTTTGAACTCTTGAATGTCTCCCATTAGGCTATGTTGTGTGGATTGCAGTAGCCTATTTTATGTACAGTTGTGCTATTGCTCTGCTAATTCAACCTGCACACTCTGCTCTTCCTATTGGAATGTAAAATCAGTGAAGATTGGCCACGAGGCCACGTATAAGGGTCATTATATGAAAACGTGCCATTTTGTGTCCCTCAGAAAAAAAAGCTCTGTAAATCTTAATAAACCAAAAAACAGGTAAAATATTGTATAATTTAGTTTCCTTAATATGTCTCATAATATAAGAATAAATTAATTTCTGTTTCTTTTGTTTTTAAAGGATTTTAATCACATTTTTGTGCATAGCATCTTGCAGAAATGTTGAAAATGGCCTGTCCCTCAGTATGATTTTTCTACTTCTACTTGCTATCAAGGCCAAAAAAGTCAAACTATTATAAAAAAAACACATACTTATATAAAGCCTTAAGTGTCAGTTCATTAGTTATGAATGGATATTATTCTTAACATGTGTCAAATTTAGAAAAAAAACACAATTTAGTTGGGTACCTAGGTTCGCGTCAACCCTGTTACTTTTTTATGAAAACACCTCTTTAAAGATAATGGACTATTCCAAAAGTTGCATCAGTTCCAGGAAATGACATCATCTGCCTTTCATGAAGTTGATGGTAGAAGACAAGTAAGTGTTCTCTTCTTTTAATGATTTTTTTTTAGTTTATGTAATGTCTGAAAGATGGGGACACGCTCATTGTGTCAGCCCTGTTACCAGAAAAGCATACGTTAAAACGTTATTTGTACATATTTAAAAATGTACATATATAACAACATTTAAGCCTCTCATTAAGGCACGTAATGTAGTGTTATTACCTATACCTCATGGCTAGTAATGGCCGCCAATAACATTTTCCGTCAACCCTGTTACCGTCAACCCTGTTACCATTCCAGGGTAACAGGGTTGACGAAAGTATATGCTTTGTGTGTCTTACCCATGTTGTATACCCAAGACGGGTTAAATCAAGGGCAACTGGACTGGGTACTTCCATATTTGAAGATATTTTGCCTCTCATCCAAGGGGTTTCTTCAGTTCTAAATGACTGATGGGGAGTGCCAGGTTTTTGAACCTCTGTGGGGTTGTCACCCCTGAGCCAACCCTTCTTGGATAACTATGACCTGGATGACTGAGAATTTTCACAGACGTACTTTTCTTACTAATAGTATTTACATAATATACATATTTTTACAGTTTTCATCCCTAAAAATCATGTTTTTTATTTATTCTACTGATAGGTAGGCTAAAATGTGTTGAGGTTACTGATCTATACTGATACACACAAGTGCATTGGGTTTTATAAATGTGCTTTATAAACCAAAAGTCATTATTATTTTTATTATGAGAAGTCAATAAATGAACAAGGTTGCTGTTAAAGTGTTTTAGTTTTTGATTTGATTTTGTTAGGATGCCTCTTTCTGCAGCTGAGAAACCAACGCTATCTGACGACCAATTCGTACGAATTTGTACGAGTGATTAAAAGGTGGCTAATTCTTAAGAATTCATACGACCTCACGTGATGGGTAGGTTTAGGGGCGGGGTCAGGGGTAGGTCATTCGTACGAATTTGGCAACTCGTAAAATATGTACGATTTAGCAAAAATCTTACTAATTCGTACGAGTGAGGTCGTACGCATTGTTACGAATTAGCCACCTCGTAAAATTCGTACGAATTGCCGTGAGATCGGGTTGGAGAAACAGCGCAAATACAGACAACGTAGAGATGCTGATCCTGAGAGACAATAAGCATATTTAGGAAAAGAGAGGGCAAAATGGAGAAAGGACAGAGACACAGGGAAAAAGCAGCCCGAATAGATATTTCTGGCCAGCCCGTGAGGACTGCATCTGGTGATGAAATTTTAAGAATGATTCCTGCTCCTCTTAATGTGACAGCACGGCACGTAGAAATATGGAAAGACATCTGGTCAAAACTTGTTGGCTAGGCAGACAGGAATGTTAAATTAAGTGATTATTATTGGCTTTTGTTTATTCTGTTAAGGCCAAACATCTTCAACAGTTAGCTTTTCCTTTACCGAGTCCTTTTTCTCCGGTCCTAAGCGCCAGTACTTAAAACGTTGTTGTGGACGTAGTTGAGGACTAACGACTGTCCTCTGGGCGGGAATGGTTAAAGGGTTAGTTCACCCCAAAATGAAAATTCTGTCAGTAATTACTCACCCTCATGTTGTTCCAACCCCGTAAAATCTCTGTGGGCCTTGAGTCAGTTCACATAGTGTAACAGCGCAGCGCTTCTGGTTGAACGTCACACGCATCACACACATGACCAGCGTCGGCCAATAGTGAGCCTACGTGTGACTACAGCAGCACAGAAGCGCTGCGCTGTTACACTACGTAAACTCACTCGAGGCCCACAGAGAAGGAAATGAATAGTTAAATAAATTCCTTATTTTTGTTTGTTTTTTTACGCACAAAAAGTATTCTTATCGCTTGATAAACTTAAGATTGAGCCACTGTAGTCACTTGGACTATTTTAACGATGTCTTTCATAACTTTTCTGGGCCGGCAAGTTTCGATCCCTTAGAAGCCTATGGAGGAGTGAGACAGCTCTCAGATTTAATCAAAAATATCTTAATTTGTGTTCCGAAGATGAACGAAAGTCTTACGGGTCTGGAACAACATGAGGGTGAGTAATTACTGACAGAATTTTCATTTTGGGGTGAACTAACCTTTTAACAAAATAAATCGCTGCATCACCACTCACCCTCAGGATAGAAGCAGGAAATGGCCCCTATGAAATGTGTCTAATCTTTAAACCCAATTTCTCTAGACATAAGATTTTTAACCAGTTTACTTCCTCTATTTTACAACACACTCACCAAATGGCTACATAATCATTATATGATCTGCATTTTGTTTTTTTATACTTTTTTATAGTGGCCTTTAGTAAGTGATCGTTAGTGGTTTTTGCTTATTCTGTTAAGGCCAAACATGTTCAATTGATCATTTAATTGCAATGTAATTTTAATGTTTTAATAAAACAATTGGTTTACATTTACATTCCCAGAATCATCATAATTTTGCATAATTTTTATGCTAAAATCTCTCAATAGATTTGTCTCCAAAATATGCTGATTAGTCATGTTGAATTAAAGGTTTATGAATGTCCAATTAAGACTCCATTACACCCATAACTGTAACTCAAACAAGCAGTAGAACCAATACGGTAACTCTTGTCAACCCTGTTAGTGATGTGTCAACCCTGTTACTTGTATAATATTCTAATTTCATTTAAAAAATGAAAATAAAAATGTAATCAACTAATAGTATATGTTTAGTAAGAGAGGCTAATAATCCACTCAAAGTTGAATTGAGGTGTTTTATTTTTGTTTCCATACATTTTTCTTAAAACAGAAGATGCTGGGAGAGTGTCATTTGCAAATGAACGTATTCATCCACTAAAAAAAATAAAACTTTCAATATTCTCAATTCACAAACACTCTTAATGTAACAAGGGGGGGTTTATCTTTCACGGTATATCAGATTTGTTCTATTTATGTATTTAAAACCTTTTCAAAAAGTAATTATTATGTCGGTAACAGGGTTGACCAAACACACACATTTACGTTGGTTATATGAAAAAAGTAAAAAAAATAAGATAGCCTGAGATGGCACGGCATATTTTCCTGACAGGTAAGGATCTACTTCATCCAAAAAGGGGCTTAAAGATTTTCAAAACAGTACTTTGATTATCAAACATTAAAAGTGGGAAATGGCACGTTTTCGGATAATGACCCATAAATTGGCGTGCAAAGTTCAACATTATGTTGTTTCAGTTTCATTGTCCAATCCCTTTTAAGACTTATTCGACTTAAATCAGAGAAGTCACTGACTGCTTTTCATATAAAGTGCCGTAAAGGTGTTGTTGTAATCATTGGTATCATTGGTAATCATTGGTATTTTACTGAATAAATTAAAATATAAACCTTACCTTTTTATATTTAATGCAATATATACTAATTAAACATATCTTCAGAAATAAATTCTGGTGTGTTAGTTCTGTTCTGTTGGAATCAGAAACGATCCCACAATAATCCCACAATTTAACCATAATCGATTCCTGACGATTCCCATTTGGAACATTTATTGCTCCGTCACTGTTTCGTGAGAATGAATGTCACACTCACAGTGGGTGTGTCTACAATGAAATTATCTCCGTAGTAAGAATACCTCGTAATACGCTAAATTCACAAACATTAAAACACATTCAAACCTGTGGTATTATTCGTCATAAGTGGATATTTTTTAAAAAACTGTCCGAGGAGCGTGTTGTTATTATAAAATCGCTCTGGTCTGGACTAATTAATAGTTCCTGTGCCTCGGTTTCCACACGGACTTGTTTGACAGGAGCGCCCTGTGTCTGCTTGAGATGGCGGCCAGATCGGAGAACGCGAGGGCCGAATAAACAGTAAACCTGCGCGTCTACAACCTTCCGAGAAGCGCAAGCCGTGTCATTTATCCCATATCTACATCCTCTAGAAACAGAAGAGCGCCATGGAAGGCGGGAAACCCACCCTGCCGCTGGTTTACCAGGCCGTACAGGCGCTATATCACGACCCGGACCCTGCCGGCAAGGAGCGCGCCTCGGTCTGGCTGGGAGAGCTGCAGAGATCGGTGCGTTCATTAGCGGGCCTACTGCGCCACAGCACCCTCACTCACTAATTAACATTTACAATATGCTATCCATTAGAAACAGTGTTCATTTAGACCGTAATGAAGCTTTTTAAAACATCAACATTTGCTGTATTGGGAAGTGGAGGTGGTCACATGTGTTTGGGCTCTTGTGGGGGTTTATTTGTATCCATTGCTAAATCCATCTAGCTTGTCTGTGGTTGGATGGTCTAGTTATGGGTGGATTTAAGCAGCAAGTTTTGCGGAAATAGTTATTTTAAACATAATAACTTGCGGAAATCGAGTTTATCACCTAGACTGCCCTGTTAGAAAGCTGGTAGTTGTGTTTTGAAACATGGTAGCGAGTTTGTAGCTGGGCATTAGCTGGTTGACCATGTTCTAGAAACCAGCTTGACCACCTCATTAACAGGAATGACCAACAAGTAGTTTGTTTTTTCTTTCTTTTTGCTGGTCCAAAATGCTTTACAATCTTGTGCCAGCTAAATACCAGCTAACGTTACCATGTTCCAAAACACGGTTTACTGGCATGGTAGGCTGAATTAAAACTGAATTGGCTATCTATTCTAGAGCATTTCTGTGCATCATAAGACATAGGCTGGTTTAAATATTAATGTTATAACATCAATATTGCGATTGTAATTCCGTTATATATGCATTTATGCCACCTCTATGCAGCATTAAACACCATTAGTTTGCCGTTTCACCCTTTCTGCTTTGGGTTACTGGTTCTTAACTTAGTTCCGCCTCAGCAAACTGCGATATCGATGATATGGAAGGTGTTAAAATTACAAACCACAAACCAGTGAGTGAGATTTTGCAAGACACATGTTCCTTTTTTGCAGAAGAAAGTGGCACAAGACTAAATTACCTCACAGGCTAATTCTGTAAGAATCAGCTTCTCCTGCAATATGTGGCACAATATTATGATGTCAATAGTATGAATGGCATGGCTTCACCTTGACACTTAGAGGGATAGTTCACCCCCCCAAAAAATTATGTCATTATTACTTGCCCTCATATCATTCCAAACCCGTAAGACTTTATCTCCTGAACACAAATGAAGATTTTTTTTTAATGAAATGTGAGTGATTTCTGTCCCTCCATTGACAGCTACAGTTCATAAAGAGATCGTAAAACTAATTCATATGAATTGAGTGGTTAGTCAATTTTATTTCAAGAGACTTGATCGTCTTATATGATAAACAGATTTAATTCACACTTTGATAAGCGAACAATCAGAAACTCAACCGAACCTGCTTGATGCACGAGAACAAACCTCATTGGTTCTTGCGGAAGCTCAAATGTGCTGCGAAACACAAGAATGAACCTCATTGATTCCTGCACGTCAAGCGAACATGCATGACCACAAGTTAATGAATGTTTATATGTGAATAAAGGCCTAAATTCAATCTGTTCATCATATAAAGTTATCATTCTCTTCAGAAAATTTGGACTAAACCGATCAAATCATATGATATGGATTAGTTTTATGATCTCTTTATGAACTTTTTGAAGCGTCAAAGTGGTAGTTGAGTAGCTGTCAATGGAGGGACAAAGCTCTCAGATTTCATCAAAAGGATAATTTGTGTTCCGAAGATGTACGAAAGTCTTATGGGTTTGTAACGACATGAAGGTGAGCAATTAATGACAGAAAGAATTTACATTTTTGGGTAAACTTTCACTAAGTTGATTGTCCTGCTCCTCTTCAGGTTGTGTATTTTGAGGTTACACATAATGAGTTCCTGGTTCCTGATGTTTCGATTTATTTGCATTAGTAATGTGTATCTTGTTGTGACGCATCTGATGTTTAAGTTTTGCTTTTACTTGTTTATGCAAAATACAACTGGTCTGACTTGATACTCAGTGGTCATATTACTAACAAGAGGCTGATATAATGCTGATTATATAAAATGAGTTAATACAGGTTATTCAAGGCTATTGATGTAAAGTAATAATTTCAAGCACTATTTAGTCATTACAAATCCTAAAACAGAAATTATGCATTGATGAGGGTGGTGATCGTCTCATAATGGACAAATCATCAGATGTTATTGGCACCTACTCATTGAAGTTGTTTTTCTGTGCTGAACCTTTCAGATGTACGCGTGGGAGATCTCGGATCAGCTCCTGCAGCTGAAGCAGGACGTGGAATCGTGTTACTTCGCAGCCCAGACGATGAAGATGAAGATCCAGACGGCGTTCTACGAGCTTCCCCCAGAGACCCACACCGCACTGAGAGATTCACTCCTGTCTCACATCCAGAACCTCAAAGACCTGTCTCCCATCATCGTCACACAGGTAACGTCCCAGCGTCTGTCGGTCCAGGGGTCGTGTCTGCTAAACATACATGATTTGTGTCCTGTGATTGCTGAATCAAAATGCAAGTCAGTGCAGAGGCCCTTAAACATCTGCTGTTAATGATTGTATATTGAACATGCAGTGTGAGGTGTTGATGGGGAGCGTCGATCGCGACCACACTGCAGTGTTACATATTGAGAGCTGTTAAGAAAGTGACGCTGGAACTCTAATGTCATTCTCTCTCCCAGCTTGCATTGGCAATCGCAGATCTGGCTCTTCAGATGGCCTCGTGGAAAGGCTGTGTTCACACCCTCATAGAAAAGTAAGAATCTTCTACAGAGCCAGAATTAGGTTTGCTTGGCTGTAAAAGTAACTTAATAGCACTGATTGTAATCACCTGAAGCACAAATAATCCAAATGGTCTCTCAGTTAATATGAGCTCAATAAACTTGTAATAAGAATTGTTTAAAATAGTTGTTCATTGTCACACCTTGAAATTTTATCATCTACCCAATGCTTGATTTTACTCCCTCCAGGTACAATAATGATGTGTCCTCTATGCCTTTCCTGATTGAGATACTCACGGTTCTGCCGGAGGAGGTGCATAGCCGCTCTCTGAGGATCGGAGCTAATCGACGGACAGAGATCATTGAAGATCTGGCCTACTACTCTACCACAGTGGTCACTCTTCTGGTGCAGACATTATTCTATCTACAAAGCAGTTTCTATCATTTATTGTCCACTTCCCAACCTAAACAAGATGCCTTACCTGTCTGTTCATAGCCAAATGGTAATGGTGCTGATGCAAGAGACGTGAATCACCATCATATTATGTCATCATCCCTCCAGTTTAGCTGTTAGCAAAATGCTGGGCTCAACTATTTACTTTTTTTTTTAAGTTAGCAGTGATATAATTGCAGGGAATACAAACACTTCTTCTATAGGCCCTTCTAATGTCTCCTTTACTTTATTATCCTTTAATAATGCCCAACCGTTGTTCTGTGCTATCATTCCCTCCATGCAAATCATTTTAACGATTTAGATGTTGCATAAGCATTTAAATCAGGGGTTTCCAGACTCGGTCCTGGAGGGCCACTGTCCTGCAGAGTTTAGCCTGGAAGTTTCCAATATGTCTAGTAAGACCTTGATTTTCTAGTTCAGGTGTGTTAAATTAGGGTTGGAGCTAAACTCTGCCGGACAGTGGCCCTCCAGGAGCAGGATTGGACACCCCTGATTTAAATGCATGATTTTTGATTCTAAACTAAGCTTGGCTAATATTGTTGCATTTCCATGATCAGGTGTCATGTGCGGAGAAGTCCGGACATAATGAGAAGATGCTTATCAAGATATTCCGATGTTTGGGGAGCTGGTTTAATTTAGGAGTGCTGGACAACAACTTCATGGCCAACAATCAACTGCTGATGATTCTCTTCCAAGTGCTGGTGAGATCAGCAAATGGAATCCGATATTCAGTTCCTTTCTCCCTTTCTCTTATACTTAAAAATCCCCCCCCTCTTTATTGCAGCAGAGGGATGAGACGTCTACAAACCTGCACGAGGCGGCGTCAGACTGCGTGTGTTCAGCGCTGTACGCGATTGAGAACGTGGCCATAAACATGCCCCTGGCCATGCAGCTCTTCCAGGGAGTCCTTACCCTAGAAACGGCCTACCACATGGCCGTAGCCCGAGAGGACCTCGACAAGTACGTATGGCATTGTTTATGATCCATGTATGCAGTTCATGCAGACCTCTAATACAATGGCACTGTTCCCATACCCAGTGAGCTGCATGCTGCCTACATGGATGTCTTATGAGGCAGCATTTTGAGTCACATGGTATCATAAGTGACAATTTGAACGGTGTACATGAATAGCTAAAACAAATAGCTCTTGTCACACAAAGCCTACTGGAGACTCACAATTGATTTCAATAGTTGATGTTAGCATGTTACTAAATGGAGGACTCTACTTAATTGATTTGAATTTAGTTTGACATTAACATGTTGCTATGCTAAATATTCAAATGAGCTAAATACTTGGAAATAAACTGGAGAGTTGACTCAAAATTGATTTCAATAGTTTGATGTTAGCATGTTAAGCTAAAAGCTCCAATAGTGCAATACGTAAGATGCGAGCCTCGAATCAGTTGATTCCAATAGATTTTGCTAGTTGCTATGTTAAAATTTCAAATTGTGTTAAATTAAACTGGAAACTCGACTAACAGTTCATTTCTGTAGAGCTTGGTGTTGGCATGCCTTTAAGCTAAAAGCTTAAATTGCGCAGTGCACTAAACGGACTCTGCTGAATTGATTTGAACATAGTTTGAAATTAACATGTTGCTATGCTAAAAGTTCAGATTTGTGCAATACTTTAAACTGGAGAGTTGACTCACTATTGATTTTAAAAAAACATTTTTATATATATATATAGTTTGACGTTAGCAGGTTGATACGTTAAAATCTCAAATTGCTAAATTCCTTAAATGGGAGATTCAACTCAGTTGATTTCAGTAGTTTTATGTTAGCATGTTGCTATGCTAAAAGCTCAAACTACGCAATACTCTAAACATGAAAATACATAGCGCACAAATATTGTGTGAATTAGTATGAAAAAGTACAACTTTTTTAAATCAATATTATTTGGTATTAAGGAAATCTATTAATAAAAAAACATATCTCTCACTTCTTCTATGTTTTTTTATTTAAACATAATGCATTACTAGCTTTCCTTCTCATTGATTGAAACCCCACTAAGCCTTATAATTTGGTCAAAATAATGTAATATTAAAAGCAGCGTATTCATGCTCCTGAAGTAGGAAGCTCACTAGATTTTGGGATGGTTTTGGATCTTGCTTGCATTTTTCCACCACAGGGTGCTAAATTACTGCCGAATCTTTACTGAATTGTGCGAGACGTTTTTGGAGATGACAGTAAGGACTCCTGGCCAGGGCATGGGAGATCTACGCACGTTAGAGATGCTGCTTATTTGTGCTGGACATCCCCAGTATGAGGTGAGTGTGAAGGCTGACAAGTATTCAATCGTCTGCACCCATAATGACAGGTGAGCATGTATATGTGTCCTTCAACAGGTGGTTGAGATCTCGTTCAACTTCTGGTACCGTCTGGGAGAGCATCTTTACAAAATGAACGATCCAGCACTGCACAGAGTGTTCAGGCCGTTCATACAGAGGCTACTTCACAGTCTCGCCCGCCACTGCCAACTTGACCCAGACCATGTGAGCATTCTTCTCTTTCCACATGTCTCGCTTGCTTCTTCACAGGAAAGACGCAAATCATTCATTAGCCAGGTTTCCATCCAAAAAAAGGTTTAGTGCATCAAAATGTTTACCAATATAGCTGATAGAAATGCTAATTATCGGTAATTTATTGCAAATGTTGACAATCTTTTTCCGTTTAACTTTAGCACATCAATTCTAGGTCGATACTTCAAATGTTGTGAAAAACTCATTTGGAAACACTTTTTGTTGAGAAAAAGGGCTTTAACGCAAATAAATGTGGTTTCACATGACTGAATTAGCCTATACAGCATCCGCGTTGGTGCCGTTGCTCCCCCTAAAGAACTTGTAGTTCAACGGCGCATTAAAACTTAGGCTAACCTAAGGCTGTTGATGGCTTCTAGCATGTGCAATAAAAAATGAATGGTTCACGATTTCCAGCTTTTTTACTTAATTTCTTATTTTGTGTTTCCTGTACAGGAGGGAGTCCCAGAGGACACTGATGATTTTGGGGAGTTCAGGATGAGAGTGTCTGATCTTGTGAAAGATGTGATTTTCCTAGTCGGCTCCATGGAGTGTTTCTCACAGGTAGAATTTATAGTTTCAAGAATAGAAACATGAAGTGAAAATGTTTTGAGGAAAAGAACCCAAAGTGATTGTATAATTTAGCATGGTTTCCTGAGAAACGAGGGAATATTCAATGCAAGTTAACTATTCTTTTTATAAACACTTTGTGTCCTCTCGTCAGCTGTATTCGACTCTGAGGGAGGGAAACCCCCCATGGGAAGTAACCGAGGCTGTTCTGTTTATCATGGCTTCCATAGCTAAGAGTGTCGATCCGTGAGTATCACTTTCAGTCATGACTCAGCAGCTTCATTTTCCTGCGACTGGTGTAGTCCTTAAAGCACAAGCGTTGAGTAACATATTGGCAGATTATATATATTTCAATATCTTAGTACCATTTTAGCTTTAAAACACAGGACAATAAGTGAAGTTACATAATAATATCTTGTCATTTGTAGGGCTGGGAATTGAATTGATACAGATTTTCTGATTCATTTAGATCCTGATTCACAAGCTCTCCATTTGATTTTTATTTGATAAGATAAGAAGATGAGTAAGTTGTCTTTTTGAGGTATTCTTCTAAAGAAATCTGCTCAGTCTTTTGTTTCAGTAATCAGGCTACACTGGTTGTGCTGTTTTTTTTGATGAATTTGTAAAGAACAGTTCCTTATGAGTCATTTGTTCATGAATCATTTGTCAATCAACCGGCTCATAAGAATCTTTTGTGAATCTTGTTAAGTTAAATGTTTGTTTTTGCGTGCATCCCTTGAAGACAACTAACTAGAAAGCCATTAATTTGCAGGATTTTTCAAATGAAGATTGCAGTTAATCATGAAATCTGTATTTTTACCCAGCCCTAGTCATTTGTCCTAAACACTTTTTCAAACTGGTTATTCTGTAGTACATGACGCTTAATGTGAGTGTTTGAGACGCTAAAATGTCTCCCTCTGCTCGTTCCTAGTGAAAACAATCCCACCCTAACGGAGGTGCTGGAGCAGATAGTATTGCTTCCTGAGACCGTCCATCTTGCTGTCCGCTACACCAGCATTGAGCTGGTTGGAGAAATGAGCGAAGTGATCGACCGGAACCCTTGCATGTTAGGTGACTGTCACAAAAGAGTCCGGTTGATTTTCACCTGCAGGATGTTTTGTTTCTCTCTGTTTCTGTGTTCATGTATGTATGTATTGGGTTGGCAGATCCTGTTTTGAACTTCCTGATGAAGGGTTTGCGGGAGAAGCCTTTGGCCTCTGTGGCAGCTAAAGCCATTCACAACATCTGCTCGGTGTGTCGAGACCACATGGCGCAGCACTTCCAGGGCCTGCTGGACATCGCCCGCTCTCTCGACTCCTTTGCCCTGTCGACGGATGCTGCCGTTGGCCTGCTGAAAGGTGAGGTGCCCTTTTACACTTCAAAGATGTTAATTGTAGGGGTGCACGGTTCAGAAAATGTCACGATTCGATACCGATTTTTTTGTCTCAAGATTCGATTCAAAATCAATTTTCGATTCAAAAAACGATTTGCAGTATATAAATGTAGTTCACTTTTTCCTATGTGATTGATTGCAGTAGACATAATTTAAAAGAAAAAAAACACAACAAATTAAATGTAGTTTGATATTACTTTATATGTCTTCATACAAAAATAAAAACTTTTGCAACTAAAAAGTGCCAAGCTTTGGCCAGCTTTCAAATACATTTAATTCAAGTTTAAAATAAAACTTAAATAAAAAGCTTTTACATTTAGCTTTAAAGTGCTGTAGTCAGATCAAACAAACAATTATGCTAAATGTGGTTTAAGGACTACTTCAGCTACCAGGTTGACTGTTGAAATGTGAACTCGACTGGGCACATTGAACTTCCTAAAAATATATACTAATGTCATAGAACCCTTGCGAAAATATTTTAAATAAATTTAAAAAAGCCACCGCTACTGGTAACATATATGGTTAGATTGATTTGTTTAGATCCAGTGAAGTAGTTCATAGGCGTAATTTGCGGGTATCTCCAGTTAACTAGCAGAGCATTCATTTAGTTTGCTATTAAATAAGAGATCTGTTGTTTTTTAAATCAAGCTGCACGCTCGTGTCCGCTGCTATGTGTCATAAATACAGTGTTCTCTGTGGCTCGAGCAGTCTTCACTCGGACGCACGCTTCAATCTATCGCCGTTGTGGAGACTCCGGTGAAATCACAAAATAAAATGCACACAAACGTGATGAACATATTCGGTTTTGATGAGAGAGAGAAAAAAAATATACGATGCGGTTAAAAAAAGTTAGATGCGGTTTAGAACCCGTAACGTCTTGACACGCTTGGCAAAAGATCTACAGAACTCAAACATAAGATCTGCGGATCGATGCATTTATTTACGGGTTGAGCAGAGAGGCTGCACAGTTTAGCTATTATATACTGTTTAGCTAAACAGTATAACTATTTATCAGACCGGCCCTCGCAGCCTCGAAACACTACCGGACCACTGGTAAAAGTCCCGACTCACCCGATTGCCACTCCGCCCCTGCAAAAAAATATATGAATCGATTTTTGGAATTCTATGAATCGGTAAAGATTGAATCGCGATTCAAATGTGAATCGATTTTTTTGCACACCCCTAGTTAATTGTAGTTATGTGTTATTCCTTGATGGATTGTAAGATGGTTACTGGTCTACACGGTTCACATTTAAGTAGCGTTCTACGCTTTTCTGTTGGTCTTAGTCATGCCCTTGTTGTATGGCTGGTTTTGTTTAAGTGGTGTGATTGGTTTACTTCAGGCACGGCGCTGGTGTTGGCCCGACTCCCCCTGGAGAAGATCGCGGAGTGTCTGAGCGATTTGTGTGCAGTTCAGGTCATGGCACTGAAGAAGGTTAGATGCTCGTGACACTGGTCTGTATGTTTACTGTCTGTGTTTAACTCAATAAAGTAATGTGTTGTCTTTGTGTCCAGCTGCTGGCTCAGGACTCCAGCAGTGGGAAGTCATCAGACCCCACCGTGTGGCTGGACAGACTGGCTGTTATCTTCAGGTTAGACTCAACCTCTCCACCAATGCACTTTATGCCAGAGCTCACTGTTTGTGAAATGTTTTAATGGATTGTGACTATTTCTAGTCCTCTGAGAAAATCGTTGTTTCCTACTGAAAATTATTATGTAACACTCTTGAAAATTATTTTAAAGGCACACCGTGTAACTTTTGGCCAAAAGAGTTGAGGCATACGAGTTATTTTAAACGATTCCTCAGGCCAATATACAGCGCTTGACACTATCAATGCTCCGAGCGGGGCTGCCCTCTTGAAATACCGCCTATGTACGTTTGGAGAAGACGCACCGTCTTTGGCCAGGTCATGTGACCTGGAAAACGTATCGGTTTACGACCGTCACGTGACCACAGGCTCGGAAGAGTCAAGGAAAAGAAAACGAGAAACTGACCGCGTGAGAACCGGACGAGTCTCACTCGGTCAGGCTTTCACTTAAAATAGGATAAGATTGATCATCAAACAGAAATAACCCAGCGTGTGCAGCTCTTAAAGGGACCACACCTTATTTCCACTCGTTATTTATGACAGTACAAGTACACCACAGCGACTCTAGGGGTCGCTGTTTGACAAAAACGGAATTAGGTATACATAGATTTGTTTGTATTATTTGTTTGGTTATTGAATGATTATTTGTTTGATTGGTTTGTCTTGTTTTTGTTTATTTATTAGTTTATTTTTAATATTAATTTTAATATTTAAACCTTGATTTTGCCATGAAAAATTAAGCCATAGAAGCTGGCATGGTGTTAAAAACAAACAAAAATAATCCTAGTATCATGGCTTTGAGACTTCAGAAAATGATAAAATCGAGCGTAGAATTAGCCTTTGTTGCAGATAATTGGTATATATGTATAAAGTATACATGTCAAAAGATATTAAATGGTATGGCATCTGAATTCTACATAATATTTTCTTCCTCTTAATTTGCACAATTTTTCCGTGCATCGATGTTATTGTGAAGAAAAGTGTCTTTAATTAGCATTAATGAATAAAAATCCATTTTATTTCCCTTTAAATGTTATTTTTCTCTCTGAAAACAAGTAAAATGTGTTTTGAAAGCCGTTTTTTTTTTTTTTTTTCATTTCCATTAGACACACAAACCCCATTGTAGAGAATGGACAAACACACCCCTGCCAGAAAGTCATTCAAGAGGTACCCTTACATGTGCGTTAACTGACACATTATTTACGTCTGTCTTTATAGTAGTTTCTTTCTGATCCTCATCTCTGTTCTTTGTTGTAGATCTGGCCGGTGTTGTCAGAGACGTTGAACGCCCATCAGGGTGATAACCGGATAGTGGAGCGCTGCTGCCGCTGCCTGAGATTTGCAGTGCGTTGCGTTGGGAAAGGCTCTGCTTCTTTATTACAGCCACTCGTTACCCAGGTGTGTTTGTGCCCTAAAAATGTATGTCCTCTGATCTGTATCTGTGTTTTTGGAATATAGAGCTGGTGTAGGTCTTAAAGAGGTTTTTTTGTTTGTTTTAGATGGTGAGCGTGTACCAGGTGTACCCTCACTCCTGTTTCCTGTACCTGGGCAGTATTCTAGTGGACGAGTATGGCATGGAGGAAGGATGTAGACAAGGCCTTTTGGATATGCTACAGGTAACGCACACAAACATACTCCAGTCTAACAACCTATAAGCCAGGGACACACCAAGCCGACGGTTGGCCGTCGGGCTGTTTCTGAGCGTCGACCGACTTCGTTTTTTCGGTGTGTTCCGCACCGTTGGCTCTAGTTGGACATTGTCAGAGTTTTTTTTGGTTGATTCAACATGTAGAATCAGCGTCGCGCCATCGGTTGGCTGTTCAGTTTAGCAAACAAGTCAGTGCACAATAATAAGAGCAAAAGTGATGAAAGGGACAAAGAAGTCATGACGGCACAGACAGAATGCTGTTCTTATTTTACGTCTTGTGCTGCGATGAGATGTTGATGAACTCAGTGTTACTGATCAGTGGCTCTATCTCTCACCCTTGCAGGCTCTCTGTATGCCGACTTTCCAGCTGTTAGAACAGCCTAATGGACTGCGCAATCACCCGGACACAGTGGATGATCTTTTTAGACTCGCCACAAGGTACCAGTTTTGTGTTTTTGTACTTCTGCTGAAGTGTTAGAAAAACAAGCAACCTGAAATGATCAAGCAAGGCCAAAATAAGTGACTTGTCACACCAAAATAACGTACATTAAAATATGCACCCATTTTCTCTCATTATTTCAGGTTTGTCCAGCGTAGTCCGGTCACGTTGCTGAGCAGCAATATTATCATCCACATCATCCAGTGTGCCATTGCTGCCACCACCCTGGACCATCGAGATGCCAACTGCAGCGTTATGAAGTTCATCAGAGACCTTATTCACACAGGGGTCTCCAATGACGTAAGTGGCACTGTCGAACCAATCGAAAGACCTTTTATTACGTTGTCGTTCCTGTTCATTCATTGCACATAGCTGTTTTTCCTCTCCTTCAGCATGAGGATGACTTTGAGGTGCGAAAGCGTCTGATTGGCCAGGCGATGGAGCAGCACGGGCTGCAGCTAGTGACTCAGCTGATCAACACCTGCTGTTTCTGCCTGCCGCCTTACACTCTGCCTGATGTGGCGGAGGTACTCTGGGAGATCATGCTCTTTGATCGGCCGGTATGTTTTCAACCTTTTTGAACACGCACCGCTTTTTGAACATTGCTCAAATACAGATTCATATTTACATTTAATTTGGCAGATGCGTTTATGTAAAGTGACTTGTATTGCATTCAAGCAGACAGGAGGTCTTGTATTTAAATGGTTATTTTTTATTATTATTACTATTATTAAAATAAGCTTCTTCTTTTTTTATGTATTTAGATTTTATTATTTAGTCTAATTTTAAGTTTATCAGTGCTTTTCTCATCACCCAGAATAAACTTTGTGGCTGAATAGCATCTTATTTTAATTCCTTAATTTCCTTTTCAATTTTATTGTTATTTTATGTTGTGATAACCACAAGATGTTTTTCTACTTTTTAAAAAGACTTTTTAAACGTTTATTTGTGTCTAGACGTTTTGTCGCTGGCTGGAAACCGCACTGAAGGGTCTTCCAAAAGAAACAGCAGGAGGCGCTGTATCAGTCACACACAAGCAGCTCACAGACTTCCATAAGCAGGTCACAAGGTGAGTTTGTCTGTGCCTGCCATCATCTGAGCCTTCGTTAACAGCACTGCCATTAGGATAATTTCATTACACTCCCGAAAGCAATTGGCCTGTTCCCTAATTAAAAAGTGCTTTTGTCCACAATAAAAAGTAATAGTGCTCATCAGTGTAGATTACAGGCAGCATTTGTCTTTTGAGGTATTGCAAGCTGGTGCACATTCAGTTTTCCTTGCGATTAGCTCGGCATGGCAAGCCTTAACAAGTACCCATAATCTCATACTTCAGCAAGTCTTGACCTGAGAAACGAGGAGCCTCCCAGCGTGGTGTCATGCACAGATGCCGAATACATATTCTGACAGTGCAGAATGAGTCACAGCTTTTCATGGAAAGTCCAAACCACGCCAGACTGATGCAGTGTCGTTGCGTTGCTCGCCCATCCTGTCGGGGTGTTTGTACTGTGATTAGTAATAATAGACCAACTTATTGTTCAAGTAGTTTGTTGGAAATTGATGCTAATTTGTTCTCTCTACCCCAGTGCAGAGGAATGTAAACAGGTTTGTTGGGCGATAAGAGAGTTTACAAGGCTGTACCGATAGCTGTCTTTTACCTGCTGATGCTGCAAGACCAGGTGAGAGAATCATATTAAAACAAAATTTGTCCCATTGTGCAACAGGTTTTTTTTACATTTTAACATTTACATTTTAAATGAACATGTATACACTCAGGCCTGGATTTCTCCTCTCAAATCCAATCAATTCTCTTACATCACAAAAGACTGGAAAAGTCTTGTAAATTCATTGGTTAGAGTTGTGGGAATCCTGTAAATTATAAAATGGTTATAAAATTCTCTCTTTTCCTCTGCAGGTCAGATTTTTTTGTTTTGCTAACATTTGGAGGAAGTGGCAAAGGGAGCCATGATGACCACTGTTGATAAACTAAAGGGAACTCTTGCATGAAGGATTTGTGGGACTTGGCACCATGGGAAAGCCAACCAATTGGATTGGAGCTTTGGAGTGGCAGGGTTTCAGGAAAAGCAAATTGCCTTGTGGGTGTCTCAAGACCGCAGCCCCATCCCTCCCTTTTTCCCCTCCAAGCACACCGATGCCAGCTGCAGCGAGAGAGGGGGGTTTCGGAAGGGACATCGTCGTCTTGAGAGGGGGTGGGCCATCGAATGGACATTGAAACGTATACACCCATTTCAACGTCTGCATCAGTCGGATTTTTGGGGATCCATCAAAAAACATAAAACAAAAAAAAAACAAATAAGGATGTGCCTGGTTGCAAATCATAATGCATCGTTAAAAAAAAGACTTGTACGTTTTTAAAAACAAAATGGAGATTTATTTTCATGGACGTGTGTTTAGAGATCAAGACATGGCTTTGCTGCCAGTGCCATACAAATGATTACCAAACTAAAGATTGTCACAGCAGCAGCCTGCGCCTGTGGGACATTTGCAAAGGGGAGAATCTTGGGAGAGTTGGTGTCACCCTTGATCTTTTTAAAGTTGGCTGGGATTTTATCCGTACAGGTTATGCTGTAAATTATGGAGGGGACTGACTGGCAGGTGCTTTTTTTTTTTTTTTGTTCTTTCAATATGTTGGCATATCTCAAGAGACTCTGAGATCATCTTAGGAGCGTGTCTGGCCGATTGGGCAAAATAAAATCCAACATTGTGAGGAACAAACTAATCTTTGTCTCGTATCTTTTCAGATGCACTTGTGTGTTTTGAGAACTGATTTTCACTCTTTCTGCAGCTCTAGGAACCAGTTTGACCAGGTTTAATTTTAAGAAAGTTACATTGGTCCTTTAGGTCCTGTTTTCTGAGTCACAGAGTAAACTGAACCCTCTTCTATTGTCTAAGGCCCTACAATCATGCGTTGCTCACAACTGCACGTGTAAACCCTCAGGTCACTCCTCCTGTGTCCCATTTGCTGAATGAGCGTATGTAGTCATATCCGTTCAAGTCCGACAGGTTCATGTTACTGGCACAGACCTAATAGGATGAGGTCAGCAGATGTTATCTGCCTGCTCTCGTAAAGTTTGCAAGGAACTTGCATGAAATATGAGTCTTAAATCTATGAGTGACAGCTTATTTAAGGGTTTAACAGTCAAGTTATACTAACGTCGAGTAGACGCTCAAATGTTCATTGGGTGAATCATACACTGGTAACCTGATCATGCCAGCAACCATTTAAAATACTGCAATGGTATTTATTGAAATCTAACATTTTAAAAGACAAGTTAACCAAGACATAGAAAAGAACAAAACAAAAAATATGGGGAAAAAAATGTCGAGGTCTGGTCCAATGGTGAGGGCACCTATATACTCCAGTGCTGAAAGGACCTCCAATTTTCAGCAGGCAATGAACAAGATGGTGAAGGTAATGGAAACATGGGTTCCTCTTTCAGTTAGTGGATGTTCTGAGTCCAGGTGGGGTGTGTGTTTTGACTCTGCAACAGTCTATGGAGCTCTTTGAACTGCTCCACCGTCTGGTCTTTCAAGTCGGGGTTGGAGATCTGCAACCGAATACTGTCTGTAGACCACGAAAGCTCGCCTGAAAACATCTCGGTAAGGATTCTTGCAACAACTGGAACAACCTAGGAAAGAAAATGACCAATATATCATGGTTTGCTAAGTTTGAAGAATGTTAAATTATAAAACACTGCTCCAGTCCTGGATGGTGATTGGGTAAAATGCAGCATATATATAAACAAACACCTATGATGCGAAACTTCTGTTCACCTAGTTAGAGCTTTGCTAAATAGTGAATACAACACAATTTAGCAATATAGCATGGTTTGCTAGGTTTGAACGCATAATTCTAAAACAGCTCTGGTTCTGGATGCTAATTGACTACACAACACACTATATAACAACATATATGATGTGCAACCTGTTTATCTAGTTATAGCTATGCTATATTGTAAATACAATGCCATACGTCATTGCCAACAACTCAATTTGGCAATACAGCACGGCCTTGTACACCTTCCTGCATAAATAAATGACTAGCGTCTTCAAACTCCAAATGAAACCAACAAACATGGATTTCATCTTCACACCTGGACAATGATGAGCTTTTTCTCCTTGGGCTTTCTGTCTGGCCAGTCCTCACCGAAGCAGAAGTAGATCTCAAAGGGTGGTGGAGTTGGTGCCTCCCCTTTCTGATAAGAAATGAGACCTGAGGGGAAAAAAACACAATTATCACATATCAAATTAACAAAATGATTCATGCATGAGTTTGGAAGTGATTTTTACATATAGTGAATAAAATGGAGTTGGGCAATTTCGTGTTTTCTCTTTTTCACTTCCCACCAAAGACAGGAAGCTTCTGTAGCACAAGTGCTACAAAATGAAGAGAAAAGGGTGTTGAATTGGCAGTTTGTATATTTTGTCAATCTTGTGCTGCCACAGAAGAATGAATGTAAATGTTTTGTCGCCTCAATGTTACATGTATCAAGTTTTATAGCTATTCATCAACCGTACATACAATGTGTCAATATTTAAAATTATTAATTTATTCTGATCAAAATTACTTCCACTAAGATTCCTCCAAACTCTGAAACTTGAGGCTCAAATAAAATCCAGAGGTTGCCAATTGTAACATTGGGATGGAATTCATATATGCTCAATTGTTTGATATTGCTGTAATGCAGTCACAATACATTTGACATCATGATCATTGAAATCCAAAACTGGTTCCTCTTACATTGAAGGAAGTTGTTCAGACTGAAGACCCTTATCTTCATCTCTCTTTCCATTGGATTGGGCGGCCCCTGCTCAGGCACACCTGGCCCAGACCAGAACACTTTACACTGGCACAACCTGATGGCATAGATATCTTGTCCCCTGATCTCCAAAATCAGCCCTCGGTCCATCACATCCAGCAGATGATCGGTGTAGAACCTCTGCTTTTCGTTCGGGATCTCAGCGGATCCTGGAAACAGTACCTGCTGAAGAGTGACTGGACCGAACAGCTCCACCTGCTCTGGTGTGGGTGCCAGGTTACCGTAGTAAAGTCTACAACCCTGAGGGTTACTGACGGTCAAAGAACCAGCTGTCCGACCCCTGTACTGGAACTTGATGTCCAGATCAGTTACTAGAAGAGAAAAAGAGAAGACCATTTTATCAGCATCCACTTCTTGTTTTTCTTTCTTTTGTGGAATGCAAAAGGTGTTTAGAAGAATGTTGATGCTGCTCTTTCCATACATAAAAATTAATGGCAATAAAGAGAAAATAAAATACAAAGGGAATTGTGAAAGTGGTCCGTATGACTTCCAAGTCTTCTGGAGCCATATGTAAGGTTTGTGTGAGAAACAAATAAAACTTTACATTAATCACTGATCATTTTCTTAACAGCTCACCAATTTAACAAACCTTTTGGCTTTTTGTATCTGGTGTTTGCAAGTGTTAGGCCAGGTTTGACATCAATGATGCCAGATGTCAATGATGCCAAACATCATTGTAACCAATCATGATATGGCAAAATTGAAAATGCACATAATTAAATAGCATTGACTTTTTGTAATTTTGGTCACCATTAACTTACATTGTATGGAAAAGAGCAGTATGGACATCCAGACTAACATTCTCCTTTTGTGGTCTTTAGAACGACATGATGGTGTATGATGACAGACCTTTCATTTTTGGATGAAGTATTTCTTAGATAAAAGATTCTCAGTCTAACAAATTCAATTTTGATAATACAGCCAAGGTGTGCACCATATGTTGTGCCGCTATGCACACCTCTTGCAAAGTCATTTAACATCAGCATTACTCAATATAAGAGGGTGGGACTAGACTTTTTCTGAGATTTACGTATGTCTTCATCATAAATTGCAACATTAATCTAGAATAACAAGGCATTAGAGGCTTACAGGGCAACATGTGTGGACTGCTCAGCAGCTCTGAGATGCAGGGATGAACCTGGTTCTCCGCTTGAGATGGCACCTCTTGCATTGGGGTGTCCACTATGGTTGGAGGGCCAACAGAATGAGAGACTACATCCTGAAGAGCAGGAGGCGGAATAACTCCAGACCCCATTTCCATACCATTCGAGAGTCCTCCACCATGAATGGGATATGATCCCTGCTCAATTTTAATTGCACTGTGACTGGAAAATTCAGGAGGTCCTGTGCCGGGCTGGGCAAGATGAGTGGTCATAGGAGCACCTCCGTTGGGGTTATTATGGATAATTTCTCCTAAAAGGTTCATTTGAGGGTTGTGGTGGGCAGTATTATAGCCATCGCCAATAGAAGATGTGAACGGAACGTCAACTCTAGGAGGATATGCTGAGTAGCTTGAAGGGTCTATCGGAAAATATAATTATATTTTTTAGTTATAGACTTATTTCAATTTTTTTTCCAAATGACATCTACTTTGAAAAAATCTTACCAATGGAGAGTTTTACAAAGTTTTGCAGCTGAAATGAAATGGAAAAAAAAATCGTTTAATTACTATGAAGAAAGTGGCAAAAATCAGGTTGATTTTGCCATTTATTTATTTCAACAGTTATTCAAGCTATTCCTCCATGCTCCATGCTCTTCAGCACTTACCTCCTCTTCCTCATCCTCTCCAGCATCTAAAATCAACAAAAGAAGAGATGATTTATTGGCTAATCCATTTTTGAATCCCTCACTGACTAGGCATGCGTTCCAGGTCTTTACCTCCATTGACTGACTGGTCGCACACCTCATAGATCTTATAAGGCTGGACGGGGGTGTCCTTAGTGCCATCATAGTGGAGTCCGAACTCTCGGCTTTTGTTAAGTGCACAGCGGAGGTTAGCCTTCCATTTTGCTGGATCTGGCTCATCTACTCCTTCCTGGTACTTGCCTGTTTCCAGAGCCCAAGCCTGCATAGCAAAATGAGTGAATGAAGGGATGCTTATGGGAAATGTCTAGACATGTCCTGTCCCTTTTTTTTTTTAAATAGACAATGGCCTGGTTTCACAGACAGGGCTTAGATTAGGCCTTGGTTAAATTAGGATATTTAAAGGTTCTCTAAGCGATGTGACGTCACTTCTTGTTGACGTTTAAAGTATTGTCAAACAAAACGGAGGCTAGCTAGACCTAGACCCTCCCTCCTCCTCATCCACGCACTAACCCCCCAAACCCCGCCCCCAAGTCCTTCTTGTCGGTGATGGGCTGGAACTGTTTGTCATGTTTCGTGGAGCGGGTTAGCCCAGTTTGTTTTTGTTGCTGTTTGTGGAGCCTGGGCTGTCTACAGAGATCGCATTTCTTTACAGTGTGTTCAGGGGACAGGCAGCCAGCGGTTAGTGAGGAGATGTTTGCTGTATATGACAAAAAATGTTTTGGCCTAAAAAACGCGTGACATCGCTTAGAGCACCTTTAAGTAGCTTTTATAAATGTGCCTTAAATACATTACTGGTGTGCATCTTGAGACAAAACAATGGCACTGACCTATTTTAAAATATGTCAGTGCCACTGTTTTGTCTCAAGATGCACACCAGTAATGTATTTTTTAAGGCACATTTATAAAAGCTACTTAAATATCCTAATTTAACCAAGGGCTAATCTTCAGCACGGGTGGCAAGCTGCTTTCAGTTAAAACAGCTCAAACTTGTATTTTAGTCTGGGACTAGGCTTAAACCTTGTCTGTTAAACCAGGCACATGGGTCTTAAGTTAAGTTACAGTCCATTTCGAGTGTAATTCCTATTCTAGCCTTTGATTGGGCAAAATCTGCATAGTGCAGGATGAGTCAACAATATTTTTGGTCTGTTTCCAGAAAGACTAAATTTGTTGATTTTAAAGCATATCCCTGCTGATTGTGTAGTTTTTTAATACACTATGCATAAAGACGCAACAAAACCGCCAAAAAAACCCCTCTAATTTTGCTTTCACAAGGTCTTTAACCTCAAGGTTCTAAACTTTTCATGACTTCCTCTTAAAATCTTGCTGCAGTTAAGTCAAGTGGAATTGAAACTCCATTTTTAGTTCTCGAAAAGAGTGGTTTCAAAAGTACTGAAAAGCCTATCTTTGAACACATCACTAGAACTTGTAAATACAGACATTTAATGGTTCAATGTTCTGCAATAGACATTGTTTTTAAAAGCATGCGAGGGCAGCGGTTCACAATTCAATCATTTTCTGTTATTGCAAGTAATACATTCTGAAAAGTGAAACTACTAGATATTTCAGTATATTGAAACTCTAAAGCAGCCCAAAATTTGAGTCCTAACTTTAGAAAAGAATAAGGGTTGTGACAAAGAATGTAACCTCAGCATCCAGGTGACAATCTTGGGTTGGTGTTGAAACTGAGCTCATATTATGGGTAAATACTATTGCAACATCCACAAAAAGGGTTATAAACAGCACGGGTGATGCCAAAACCATATGATTCACCTTAAAAATAGTGTTCTCCTCTTCCAGGGTAGGCATATGACGGGTGGCGTGTCTCCATGGGATCCGGAACAGTCTGCGCTCTTGATTGAGCCAGTGCAGTCCTGGGTATTTCCCACTGTTAATCTGGTGGAGTGAGAAATGTTTACTTTTCTAATGTAGAACTTGCTCCGGATGCAAGATTTCAAATGATATTCCTTCTATTATTCCCTCCATTTTAGATGCTGATATCTGGAAGCACTGGATGGGTGAAAAAGCAAGGTGGTAGCCGGGCACTGATACCTTTCCAATCTGTTTGAAGCATTGACGATGACGAGGTAAAGATTATATCAAGTGTTTGAAACAGGGGTATGTTACATCCCCAGTGTGGTTTTATGAATATCTTTGTTGGTTTGGAAATATGGTTAAAACTATTCTATGACCAATATTTTCATTTACACACCTCACAAATTCGCATATCATGGAAAGCATACAGTGACCAGAGACTTTTAAGTTGACAAAAATCACCATTTAGGTGGGGTCAACATTTCAGGAACTTTCAAAGGCCAAAAAACAGCACCAATAGTGAAGCGATGCAGGAAGCACTGTTCACACAGAAGTCACTTTTAAATCAAGCAGTTTTTTTGTTGTTGTTCAATGCGGCGAATTCAGAGTGTTGCGAACTCTGCGTGGGGAAATCTTTAGTCCTCAAGAGAAAATCCCAATTGCATGGATTTCTATTGACTCTACTGGATTTCATAAATCTGCAAATGCACACTTTCAAAACAAATTTTAGGTGTCATAAAAGCAGTCTATCCAACTTTTGCGCTATATTCCGTTTCTGATGTCATCTGAGGAAAAGACTGAAATTTAAGTCATTTTCCACTTAAAAAACGTACCCTCTGCTGTAGAACTCGTATCATTTGCGTATGCACATATATTTAAAAAATGCTGTGTCATGACTGGTCATCTGACGTGAGAATAAATGCAAATGGCATAATAAGAGTCATTACAACTATTTGCATGGTGCTTTTTGTTCATGTGCAGAGCTTTACCTGGTCATCATTCGCTTTAATTGTATTAAAAGAGAATCTGCTTTTTATGTTCCACATAAGAAAGTCATACAGGTTTGGAATGACACGAGGGTAAGTAAATGATGCCAGGATTATAATTTTTGGGTGAACAATCTCTTTAAAATCCATCTTCAAAAAGGTTACAATGTGATTAATAGATCACAATTCACCTGTGCCAGCAGCCATGGCTTCAGTCGAATCCTCCGTGGTTGACCACTCATGGTGCTGGAGAACAAGGGGGTCGGAGGAGGTGGTGGTAATGTGAACACTTATTTTGGTCAGCAATTATAGCACTGGGGCAAAAAAAAGAAAAAAGGAATAGTTACATTGTTGACAGATGATTTAGTCTGGAAGTCGGCAACTATCAGAGAAGAACATAATTAAAAGTTGAATCTGCAAAGTTGGCACAACCAAAGAGATGCTGAGATGGACAAGCTGAAAAAAATCTTATATAACAACAAAATTAGGGCAATTTTAGGGCAACAAGTCGAATAAATATTTAGCACAAAAGCTGCACAATGACAAATGTGACAAGACGTGAGCCTTCAGGCCTCTGCCAAGTACTCAAACCGCTGCTATAAAAGCAGGTGCTCGTGGGAAAACAGAAAGCATGTGGGATGTGGTATTTAGTTTTTTAAAAGCTCAGTAGCGGGGAGGTCATGTTACCTCTGTAAACACACGACAACATGACTGAGCACAATAACAGCCAAGATCGAACGCCACCATTAGCGCAGTCTGCTTTTATAAGGGGGGAAAATGCCAAGGTGCTGATGTAATAGCTGTGTAACTGACTTATGCAGAAATGAAAAAGAGGCTGTGAAACTTTCAAAGCCATTTCTTATTAAACACACTGACAGTTCGGCAACTGATCAGCATTCAGCACCTTGGCCATGTGAGCTTTTTCAATGAGTGTTAAACGATATTGATATTGCACTCCCATAAAGGAAGTTCAAAATACTACTAAGTTCATCCATTATGAATTGCTGAGGAACAATTATTAACCAAATGCTAAGAGAGTAATTTTGATTTGGTGTAGGATAGAGAAGTAGGTGAGGTTCATCTGTTCAGTGTTCTCCAGTTAAGTTCCTTTAACTTTATCTCTATGGGTAACAAACCCAGTTCTCCACTTTTAGAGCATATAATAGGGTTAATAATGTCCCTCAAAAACCTATTTTTATTTATTTTTCATGCATAAAAAAAATTAAGGAACTATTTAGAGTCAAATAAATTGTTTTTGTAATGAGAATTTGCTAAAAGCAACAATGTGTGTCAGTGGAAAAACAGGACATATTTGTATTTAGATTATGTTGTATCACATCCATTACTATTATCATCCTTTTTTAGTATTTACTCAACATTTAAGTTAAATTAAGGCAAACCATTAAAAGTAAATTGAGATAATTCTATTAGACACTGTCAGCAGTTAAAGCTATTTTATTTTTTAGAATTCTAACATTAAATGTTCAGTCACCCACTTTCTTTTTTAATTTGAATTAAAAATAAATGTAACATTATTATTTTATTTTATTGTCTCATCCTTTCATTCCTAAAACATATGTTTATTTTTCATTTATTTCTTTCACATCATTGTTTATATAGCCTATTTTCTGTTTATAGATTTTAGGAATGACGTCAAATGTATGCAAATAAAACTTTAAATAGTTTTGGTTTCAAAGTACAAGCAAAATATAAGGGTTAGATATTGACTGATATCATGCTTTTAAAGTTAGTAACATGCAAATACACACAAAAGATACACATAGCCAATTACTCAAGAAACCACAATGTTGCCAAAACGCCCATTTAATTCCCACCTGTCCAAAAACGCGCCCAGAGCTTCTTAAACCACATTTTATACGACAAAACCATCCAGAATCAATGCTCTGTAAATTTTGCAAATGTTAAACAAACCTAAAATCACTTACCTGCACTGAAAAGTATCCAAACTTTGAATCGGGCTCAGTTCAGCGTTTACCTGACGGGCTCATATAGATCAGGTGAGGTTCAAATCCGCGTCGGTTCGTCCTCTAGGCTCCAGCAGATCAAATGACCGTGGACTGACTGATCACAGCTCTCCAGTACTCTCTCATATCCATGTTGTTGTTTTTTTACAAGCATGAGACGACAGAAACGTATTTGCAGAAGTAGAACAGGTACCACCCTTCCGGATGGCAGGGGCTAATGTAAACGGAAGTGGTGTGTGTTTCATTTTTCATACATGCCCTGTGACCCTGTGTTGTAGTGTTTAGCATTTGACAACAAGAAAGTGCCATAGGTCATATCATTAGGCAAAATACGAGAGGTACATACTATTTTTATTAGACTGTTAGTGCTGTTTTTAAAGTCGGTATCCCATTAGTCCATACTTTATTAACTGTAAACATTCACTAAATATGCCAAATTACAGAAAAATAAAAATGCTAATTTAATATAAGACTGTTCTAAAGGCTAAATTAAGTGTTGTTTAGACTTTAAACTGCAATGCGTTTATTTGTTCACTAGGTGGGTTCTGTGACTGTTGAGACTTTTTTGAGACGTCATGTGACCCCAAGGGGAACGAAAGGGAGTGACAGCAGGGTTGTTATTGTTTTATTTAGGCTATTTATTTATTCATTTATTTATTTATTTTTATTAATAATTTTTTACTTGCAGTATTTATTTCATATATTATACTGTATATCATTTTTATAACTTAATATAAACACATTTTGGAATCATAGGCCTATATATTTTTTTTCAGTGTATAAATTGGGTGTTTACAAAAGACACCCTTTTAGATGGGTCCGTGGCATCGAAAAGATTAAAAACACCTGCATTAGACTAGCATAGAAGTGTACCATATGAGCTTGGTATACTTTTTTGTTTTGTTTTTATTAAGACTAAACAGCATTTTAATTCGTTTTTTATTATTAATGTGCTTGCAGTTTCATGAGTTCGTGTTAATGAAAAGACTGCATCAAATATTCTGGTTTTAAATTAATTCCAAGAGTATTTAAACGAAATAAGGAAAAAGGAAAGAAAAAAAAAGTTAAAAAGTTAAAAAGTGATTCATAATGGAGGTTCCGAGTTTGCGCAATGACGTTGTGCGTGACCTGCGTTTCCAGGGGAACGTGACTTGTTTGGACTCTGGCGTGCAGTGTGGAAGGGTGGAACGGTGGAAGTATTCAGTCGCTTTGTTACATTCAATAAATATTTACATATTTTTTTTAACAATTTTTCTTTTGATCTTAAAACGATTGTAGACTATAACCTAATTAATGCGTCTGTTTTTTAATCCGGTGCATTGTCATTTTAAACTTTTATTGTTGTTGTGACAGAAATCAGGTCACATTCATTGATGTGCACCAGGTTTAAACCCGAAAAGTTTTTTTTTTTTGCACCCTAAATGTTGTTTAATGAATGCTGAAAAGTTTGTTTTTAAATTAGACCTTTTATTTGTTTTTCATTGTTTTGAGAATGACTGGGGAAATAACAAGCACACACAGGTTTGCTAGCAACAAAAGTTTGGATCTCCAAATGATGGTACACAGTCAAGAGGTTCAGAACCTTCTGGGACCTCTTTCACTACTCTGCCACATCAATGGTGACAGGATGACAGGTTAGATCTTTCTCCACAAGCTTTCACTAGTTAATTCATTCTTGAAGTTTTGACATCAATATTACAGTATTTTGCTGATTTACAAATTCATCTTCAGACAGGTTTAAGGTCAGATCAGAGTCTTCAGCTTATAAGAAGGATAAACGCATTCCAACCTCTTTGACTCAGTTGTGCGAACAGCTGGAGGAGAGAATCATCCAGATATCACAACATTACTCCATCTGCCATGAAGACAGAGAGTCTCTGGTCAGTCTCAAACAGATTTTCATATATTCATAATATGAAGTATTTTGCACCGTACAGTAGGCCCTATTGCAGATTACATTTTATCATCAGATTGGATTCTCCTAATCCACCAAAAGCATCATATGCCTAGAAGTTCTCATGCTATTTTTGACAATTAAATAGAGAATTAGAGGGACTTTTCATGTTTAGTTCAAAATTATACATTTGTGCATGCATTTGATTTCCGTGTTCTCTTAATTCCTCTTTTCTCTCTCTCTCTTTTTTCATTATGTTTATTGCTATTCTTTATTAGATGTATGATATGTTATGTTTTTATGATTGTAATTATATTATTTCTCGTGCATATAAAATATATAGAGAAAATAAAGCCAAAACAAACAGATGTTGAGTTGTACAGTTAGAGTTTATGCAGTCAATCTCAATCTTAAAATACTCCCAGAAGTATGAATTCTTTTTAAAATGAGTTTACAATAAATCTCTTTTCTTTTTGCTTTTGACCTTCAGACTGCAGTGTTGACCTCTGAGCTGGGTCTGATCTGGCAGAACCTGAAAACCCCATCTGTGGACACCACACTGTCCCAGGAAGAGAAAGTGCAGCTGAACTGCCAGACCTTCAGTGAAGTGCTGCACATCTGTGAGCAGCTGTTTCTTCACTACCTGCAGGTGACGAAAACTCTACAGAGGCGAGGTGTTTTCAGTGACTGTGCTAATCGCAGAAGGGTGGCAGCTCAGCTCGCTGTGGACTGTACCAGACTGTGAGAGCTACTCTTTTTATCTAAATTACAGAGACTTTAACAGGCTTTGATCCCATAAAATAGCCCATTTGATGCCATATAGTGTGGCATTGCTTATTCACTGTAGATTGTGGCTGTTTCTATTTACAGCTTGAATGTTCGATCCGTAAGATGCAGGATTGTCACAGGAATCAAGGCTGCACGGAAGGCCAGAACAAGTGCTGTTACACAGAAGAAGACACTACAAACATGCTCTGATAGCATGGAGAGGTCCATGATGGGCACACCATGGGAAAAAGCTGTGGAGGATGACCTCAAGGAGGTGCGTTTGTGTGCATGTGTGTTGTAAAGAGAGACGGTAAGGTCATATTAATACGTTTCTATGTGTCCAGATTCAGGAGAAAATCGGGGAGCTGGATCTGCAACATGTGTATGATCTCCTGCCCTGCCACATGAAGCCAATCTTCTATAAGACAGACACACGGTGTACGGCAAGATACACCGATACATTTAGGGATAGTTTACTCACTCTCATGTTGTTCCAAACCTGCAATGTTGTTTTGGTTGACAGACAGACAGACAGACATAGATAGATAGATAGATAGATAGATAGATAGATAGATAGATAGATAGATAGATAGATAGATAGATAGATAGATAGATAGATAGATAGATAGATAGATAGATAGATAGATAGATAATGTAAAGGTGAGTGAGTAATATAGATAGATAGATAGATAGATAGATAGGTAAATGTGAGTGAGTGAGTGAGATAGATAGATAGATAGATAGATAGATAGATAGATAGATAGATAGATAGATAGATAGATAATGTAAAGGTGAGTGAGTAATATAGATAGATAGATAGATAGATAGATAGATAAATGTGAGTGAGTGAGTGAGTGAGTGAGTGAGTGAGTGAGTGAGTGAGTGAGTGAGTGAGTGAGTGAGTGAGTGAGTGAGTGAGTGAGATAGATAGATAGATAGATAGATAGATAGATAGATAGATAGATAGATAAAATAATTTGAGTGAGTAATATAGATAGATAGATAGATAGATAGATAGATAGATAGATAGATAGATAGATAGATAGATAGATAGGTAATGTAAAGGTGAGTGAGTAATATAGATAGATAGATAGATAGATAGATAGATAGATAGATAGATAGATAGATAGATAGATAGATAGATAGATAGATAGGTAAATGTGAGATAGATAGATAGATAGATAGATAGATAGATAGATAGATAGATAGATAGATAGATAGATAGATAGATAGATAGATAGATAGATAGATAGATAGATAGATAGATAGATAGATAGATAATGTAAAGGTGAGTGAGTAATATAGATAGATAGATAGATAGATAGATAGATAGATAGATAGATAGATAGATAGATAGATAGATAGATAGATAGATAGATAGATAGATAGATAGATAGATAGATAGATAGATAGGTAAATGTGAGTGAGAGAGTTATAATTCAGGATATTAGATCAGGACACTGTATCTTTGCATGTGTCCAGGTTCCACAGCCCGCATGGCCAGTATACCGACACAAGAGCAGGATCAGAGTTCCAGTCAAAACCGGTTGTTCAGAATGAAGGTGACCAGGACTTTTTAAGTCCATATTGCATATTGCAACTTTTCAAAGAGTAGCCTGCTTCACAATTTGTCCTTTCACTCTCTCAGGGATGTCATTCCATGCCTGACCTACAGAGGGAGACACTGCTGGAGGAGCTGGAGATAAAGCTGCCGAATCGGCCTCCATCCCCATTGGCCCTACTGTCCACAGATCCTCCCTCCACCTTGGAGAAACACATCAGTCCTGGGGAGGATCTGAGGAGGTTGGGCTGTTACGAAATACCCATACAACATATAAATCAGAGTGTCCATGTGCATGAGTAATCGGAACTGAAACTGCATTTGTGCGTATGTGTGTTTTTTTTTTTTTTTTAGATTATTAAAAGAAAGCGATTACAAGGATGACAGTGTTTGTGAGACAGATCTGTGCCCACTTATAGAAGCCAGGATCTGTTATAATTCTAGCAGACTCCAAAGGCTCAAACAAAGACTACAGGTACAGAAATAAACTCCTTGCGGCCATAATCGTGTGCAGTATACCTGTGAGCCATCTGCAAATGTGATTTAATGGGCATTTCTTTCTAGAAAATGGAGGAAGAAGAGGAAACAAAGCACAAAGTTCTTGTGGAGAAACCTTCACACACACAAGGAGACGTGGCCATAGTGGCGGTTTCACCTCACACCATTGTGCGCACAGCAGCAGCCAGAGCGTCCGATAGGGTTCTCCCAGAGACCATCAAACTGTACCCACCAGTCTACAATGACCTCAATAAAGAGGTGCTACTCTGATATAACAGCAGTGTTATTTTACTATTTTATATATATATATATACAGTATACATATCCCTCCTACATTGTAGCTACGACATCTAATTTGGCTTATATAGGACTTACCTGTATAATCATTCTAAACCTCTAGATCGATTCAGCATCGGTTACTCAGATGGATCGGAACTTGGTTGGAGAAAATATAGAAATAAGCAAAGTCTATGACGAGTTATCCAAAAGTATTTCAACAAAGTATTTCAACTTTGATGAGGTAAGCCGAGTTAGAGTTTGTGGACTCAAATGTAGATATTTTGTTGGTGACATATCACAACATCCTCATATCACGAAGTTGAGAATATTAAAAGCAGCTTTCTATCTTAGGACCCCAGGATTGAGCCTGCTCTGACCAATGCCACATGCTGCTCAAAAAGAGTAATGGATGGCGAATCAATCAACCCATCACTCAGGAAGCCCAGCCCATACAGCATATCCCACAGGTGTTCTCTTCTTCCTTATTATCAGTGCTTGTGGTTATTTGGTCCCCCGAAATGCTATCAAATCTTAAATTTAACGGCATAAATGCAGAGAGAGAATAAAGAGGTCTGAGAACAGAAAGAGGCCTGTGGATGCGACTGCACGAGCGTACAGAGCTTGGTTTCAGTGGTGGAGGTGTCAACTATCACTGGATGATTATCTTAACTACATTTCCAACCAGGTAAGTTTATAATAGCAGTGTGTTTATGAGCGATAAATGCTAAATGTATTCAGGATGCAGGCTCAATTGTGGACTTGAACAGTGCTTGTGTTGTTTTGAAGGACTCTGATTATCTGTCAGTGCTGTTTCACCTGTATGACAGTGATGATGAAGAGGATGAAGAGGCAGAGAGACACAAGCTGGCTCAGCTGCAGAGAGACAAGAGGAGAAGGTCTTGTACTAACAGCTGGGATTCATTTCTAGTTAATCCTCCATTTTCTCTGAGAATGACACATGATGACTTGCGGTTGTTTCGTCCATGAGACAACACTGCTAATACTGGGAATGTGACTGTCAGCAAAATGGCTAATCACAAATGTTTTGCCTGTTCCATTTATTTTATTTCTATAATTAAATCAAAGTTAGCCTGTAGATCTGACCGTCATCTCTTCCAGGAGGCAGCAGGAAAGGATCAGTTTACTCAGGAGACGGAAACAGGAATTTGTTCCTGGATTCTGGAACATCAACACCATAAATATGGGAGGACTGGGGAGGGAACCAGAACTGGATGGCATGTTATTGTTTTCTATAAAAAAAAATATTGGTACATTTATGAACATGCATTATTTAGTGTCCAAAAAGGAATGAGTGACGATATATCTGTGTTTCAGAGAGACATCCAGAAGAGGAAATACAAGATGCAGTGAGTTCCTGTTCTCTTCCTCATAATATAATGCTGCACTTCTGTTTTCCACTGATTTCTACTTCTGTTGATTTTTAGGACAGATTTCTGTATAGCAAAAATAATTTTGAAACGCACAGTTGTAGCTCAAATAATCACATTTTTTTAATGAGTTAGATAGATAGACAGACAGACAGACAGACAAGCTGATAGATAGATAGATAGATAGATAGATAGATAGATAGATAGATAGATAGATAGATAGATAGATAGATAGATAGATAGATAGATAGATAGATAGATAGATAGATAGATTGATTGATTGATGTTCTTCAGTCTGTGGGAGGAGAGGAAGATGAAGGTCCAGCTGCTGGTCTGCTGGATGGAGAACAGATGCAGGTCAGGCTGGAAAGGGTCTGGAACGCCCTGCGTCTGCCAGAAGGTCAGCGACTAGACATGGCCATCAAATACAGCTCCCATGAGTACAGGGACCATCTGCAGGAGGTAGAGATCATGAGAATAAACTCTCCTGGCTTTCCATCATGATCATCAAGGTTTTTATGTTGTCACGTGGATTTATTTGTGCTATCAGGCAATTGCTGCATGGGAGGCGGCTGCTCGTTTGATCCAGAAGAGGGAGCTCTTGCTCTCCAGGTTGGAGGACTTTGAGAGGGAGGCATCAGACCCCAACAGATTTTTCCAGCGAGGTACATCAGAGGCACAGAATAAAACATTTTGACCCTTGAAATCTACTTTTGGGATGGTGTATTGCCTGCATGGCTTTATATTTCTAGAAATTATTATAAAAGAATGATCTAATCTGATACAGATCCGATCTAATACAGAGTCATTGCGAATAAACAGGTTATCATGGTTCATCTATCGCTAGAATGGAGGAGGCAAGTCAAAGGGAGAATCTCAACTCTCAGATTTCAGTTGTAGACCAAGAACTGTCCAAGACTATAGGGCACATCACAACCCGTTTCAATGACAGCATCAGCTATGAGGTGAGTGCATCAAGGCACACCTTTGGTTATCTGCAGCAGAAACTGTCCGTCCTGTTGTTCATCCTTGTTGCTGATTTGGTTCTCACAGGGCCGGCCGTACAGGGAGAAGATGCGCTGGGACCGGACTGAGATGCTGTACTGGCTGCAGCAGGAGAGAAGGGTCCATTCACTGGAGATGTTTGTAGAGGGACGGACGGCTCTCCCTATTAGGCTTCCTCCTCTAAACCAATGCCAGGAGCTTCACTCAGGCAGCCATCAAACTCTCCACGAACAACCTCCATCAGACTGCGAGAGAAATGGACAATTTTTGCAACACTGTGAATTTTAAAAATATATATATACTCATGTAAGCCAAATACTGGCAAATAAAGCAAGATCTGTTCGTTTTTATAGAGCTGTTTTTATTTTGATTATTGCTTTTAGTATATTCTTGTTAGTTGCTGAAGAAATTTCAGACTCTGAAAATGAGTGTGGTTAAGAGTTTTACATTAAAAAATGTATTATTTATTTTATATATTATATGAATTACACAACAGTGTTATTTTAGTATCTCTGAGATACTGTTATTGTTTTTATTAATATTTAACATTTTTATATTTTCCATTTTCGTTTTAATGTATTAGTAATTTTGTTTGTGTTTTTGTCTTTTTATTAATTGTTTAATATGTTTTTTAAATGATTTCATTTTTATTTATTTTAGTACATTAAGTTGAAAATGAAGATATATTGCCATATAACAAACATTTTTTTTAATTTTTTTTTTAATTTTAGTTAAATATAATAACTCTGCTACACACTGCATGCATATATAATTAAAAGTAGTGTAGAAAATGGCAAATGATGGTATTCATTACATTAATTATGATTTTGTTCATATTTTAACAGACAAACCTGTTGGTTGAATATGTTATGCATTAGACAGAGGAAATATGCTGCCCTTGCTTTTATCGTGCAACTCATCAGAATAGTAACAGAGATATCATGTGCTATTTTGCTATTTAATATTCAAAAATCACTTTTACGTAACTAAACATTCTAACTGACTAACTAAACATGTTTATAAAGTTTCTCATTAACTGGGGATGATATTCACTTTTTTGAATGGTATGTTGTTTCACGTATTACCAGTAGTTGGCAGTGCGCTATTTCCCTTTTGTTTGCGTTGATCCTGTCACCTGAGAAGAAGAGGAGATTCGCGGCCCTCTGATTGGCTGTGTGCGCATCACGTCATGTGTTCTGTTTCTAAACGTTTCCTGTCGAATTTTCTATTTGGGATTCATACATCTCTCTGTTTTCAAAATATTTCTGAACGAAATGACAGCGAATAATAGGCACTCGCCGGGTATGTAATTTTATTTGTATGCTTAATATGTCAAATTCCCTCTTAATAGAGCAGAGTTATTTATTTTACAGTATTAGGTGATCATAACAACACCAATGGTCCAATGAACAACCTCTTAAAAAATAGTAACTTAAACATATGTAAACAATAAATTGTTATCTCTATAAACATATTAAATGCATATAAGGATAACGATGTACTACTATGATAAAAGTAAATTACATTTTGCGCTTAGATAATTAGGACTAAACTGGCAAAAACATCATTAAGGTTGAAATCAGGCACTTTAGAGAGGTTTCTAATTTCTATAATGCAAAACACCTGTAACGTTGCATACAGTATTACAGCTTATAAAACAACAGTTAAATCATTTTATTTGATTTCAATTGAAAGATATAGTTTGTAAACAGCACTACGGAGTTATAATGACAGTTTTTGATGTTTTAAAAGTAAACTGTGTCTATAAGTAGTCTATTGCTCTCAATGACATCCATCAGCCACTTTTCCCTGAACCTCGTTTGTCCTGGAATATGTTTGAACCTGTTGGTTTCAACGAGGAAGTGAACGTCCACAGGCAGTGTATCTGGTTTAATTTTGGAGATTTCTATGATGAAATACACGCTTGCTGTGGCTGTGGGGATCGGGGTACTTCGGGTCGGGATGCTCCATTTGGCTCCGTACTGGTATTGCTTTTTAAACTCCAGCTCTGTTTCCTGCAGAAACTTCAGGCTGTAGAGCCAGCCGGGCTGCTGTATCTCCCATGTGTCCATGTATTGCCTGATCTGCTGCTCTCCGATCTCGATTGTAAAGTCTTTGCATGAGATCCAGTCGATATTTTTGATTTTATGCTCACATTGTGCGATATTTTCGCTGTCCATCTCCATGATAGCTGTCAGTGTTTCTGTCATGTTGACGTCGGTTTCCATGGTGATGACAGACAGGGGACGGGTGTTGCATAACTGTGCGACGTAGCCTAATGCTTTAAAATGATTTTCATAGTTCACCGTTTTTTTTTTTTTTTTTTTTTTTTTTTGCTTTGCAAATCTGTATGGTTTCTGTAGGAAAAAAGGTAACACTTTATTTGAAGGTGACGTAGTTACACATTACTACATTCACTTACTATAGCAATAACAGTAAATTATGTATATAATTACTTACAAGCAGGGTTTGAAATTAACTTTTTCACTCACTGGCCAAATTGGCTTCTAAATGTTTATGTTACCAGCCATTCAGAACATCTACTAGCCAAAAATAAATTAATAAATTTGAGTAAGTACAATGTAACTACGTCACCTTACAATAAAGTGTAACTTAAAAAAATTGAACTGGATACTCTTTTCATGTAGTTACAATAAATGAGTTTTAAAAGAGTTTTAAAACTTCAAAAATTAGTTTTCAAGTCAAACCATTGTTTGTGTTTTTTTAGCACATTTTTATTCAGTTGCAAGGATGTTCTGTGTGGTTTCATACTTTTTTTTATGATATTAGACATTATTAACTTAAGAATAACAAATGACAATCTTTCACTTTACAGGTCGCCTTTAAAATGTGGAAAGCTCCTACTCTTATAAATAAGCACGGAGCTCTTATCTAGCAGATGTGAAATGGCTAAAGCTTTGATTGAGCTCTGCATGGCTCAGTAGCTTTGATGCCAAATCCACACAAGTGTGTTTTCTCAAGGAATATTCCAGAATTCCCTCTAGTAACCTCGCCGCATGTCGCGCATCAGGAGCACACTGGACACCGTTACCAAGGCCGTGAGCGGAACGGTGAACACCGACCTCTTCTCCAGGATCACACGCCTCAAACCCGGTGCCACCCAGGCCAAAGCTATAGAAGTTAAAGTGGAATGCGCCGAGCCAGAGGCTGGAGCTGTCATGACTGTGGCGGCACCTGATCCGCCCAGAGAGATTGAAGTAAAAAAAGACATGGAACCTCCTAAAGAAGCACCAAAATCTATTAGTAATCTGTCAAACAGCACAGGAAACGCATCCAGCGGGGTTGCAAAGCAAACGCTGCAACGCTTCCAGCCCGCTGCGTTCACAACCAACATGGATGAAACGTACAGTCACCTGGCTGAACATGTCAATGCCTACTTTGGAAGCGACACACGAGATCACAAACGATCACAACTGGATAGAGGAGACACAACACCTTCGACATCTCAGATCCAACCTAGCGCTCTTCCCAAAGTTAGCAAGGATCATATCCTTATGGGAGCACCTGTGTCCCATAGATCCACACCCGAAAAGCCCTCTTGTCCATCTGCCATTGACAAGGATGGCTCCATCCCAAGTCCACAAGCCCCTTCTGCTCCAGCTCAGGACGAGGGCGTTTCAGCCATCCCCATATCGCCAAGGAAAGGCATCAGTCATTACCTGTCCTACCCTAGGCCAAGCGTCCAGGCTTTTGTAGGTAATTACATCACTCCTCTCGTTCCAAAGTTTAGAGCGGACTCAAAGGGTGGCACGGCAGAGAAGGACAAACCCTCTGGAATCGAAGTGACCGTGTCTCAGGATGCAAAGAGTGCAGAAAGCAAGGAGAAGAAAGAGGCAGAGGAGAAAGAACAGAAACTGATGTCTCAGAGGGAGAAGGTAGAATACTATCCCTGTAAATATATTACAATAGACTTAACTGAGTTCTTTTTTTTTTTAAGTTTCTAAAAACTGATACATTTGTTTCAGTGTGGTCAGCAGAATAGTTTTGGGGTTGAATCTATCTATCTAAAATAAGATATATTAATAAGATAAATTAAGCTTGTTTTTAGAACCACTAACAATTTTGGTAATATATGCTAATATATATGTATATATGTATACTGTATATTAGCATATATTATCAAAATAGTTAGTGTGTGTATATATACCTCATAAAATGGTAATAATAATTTGCAAAAAGGTAAAATAAAATGCAAAAAAAAAAAAAAAATGTGTGCCACATTCCTGCAACAGGAGCAGAATGTATCTGTATGCAATTCATTCTTTTATAAAATGTCACATTGGATGCTGTTTTAGTAAGAATGGATTTTTTGGTTTACACGCAAATTCCTTCTGCTCATGTTTCATGAACGAAGCCCGTTGCCTATGCAAAATATATCAATTTCCCATTGATTATAATGTTTAAAGATCAAAAGTGACTGGTTCTGTGTGTTGTATGTAGATTATAGCACGTGTTAGTGTGGATAACCGAACCAGAGGACTGGTCAAGAGTCTTCAGCGAGTCACTGATGTGAAGATCACCATCAGCAGGGTGGAGGAACTGAGCTTCCACCTGCTGGAGTTTCCTGAGACCAGAGGAGTGGCAGTCTCTGTAAGTGTGTCCAAACACGTCTGTGAGGAGGACTACTTAATTTTTCGACATTGTAATCTCAATCAATAACGTTCTGTTTTTCATTTCTTCCTTTCTCTCGCTGTGTTCAGGAGAAGATCATCCCTTGTCTGTTGCGTTTGAGGCAGGCACGAGATGTCAAGCTGCAGGCTGCAGTGAGACAGGCTCTGGCCCTGGTGGGCTACAATGACCCGGTGAAAGGCAGAGGGATACGTGTTCTCTCCATTGACGGAGGAGGCACCAGGTGACAGACAGATGATAGTTGGGGGGGAGGGGAAATGATTAACTTAAAGTTAACAGATTGTGAAAGGACTTTTAAGATAAAAGTAGGTCAGCCCAAATGTACCTAAAAGCAGGTCATCCAAAAATAGAACTGACACAATCCCTTTAGATGTTGTCTGTCATCCCAGGCTAATTTTCATGTTTTAAATTTGTCACAATTTTACCTAGAATAAAAAAATAAAACAAACAATATAAATAAAACTAAAATAAGTAAAAAAAATAAAAAATAATTATAGATCTAGACATAAATTAATAATAGTAACACTTTACAGTAATTGTTAACATTAGTTAAATACATTAGTTTACATGAACTAACAATTCTGCATTCATGAATTAACATGTACTGCGTAACAATTCATGTAAAGCGCAGTACCCAGAAAAGCGTTATATAAATGTAACAAATTATTATTATAATTATTAATTCTACAGCATTTGTTTA